TCAGTGGCTGATTAAACATGGCTCTACACACCTCCTTGACAGGCCTCTATACAAACAGGATTTGTTTTAGTTCCAAGGAAGAGAGGAGGGGGAACCGGCCCAAAAGCTGCCAATTCCCTGTGCCTGAATACAACTCAGTAGGCCTGTATTTGTATCCCCATATTGCAGATGGGTAGTGTTATCGGACTGAGCCAGTCAACAGCTGGGGCAAACCCGGGTGGACCCCAGACCCAAGCCAAACAGAGCCTGAGACGAGACTTAGAGCCAAAATCAGCTTTATTCTAGTGCACTATAGAATAAAGGGAGACAAAAGGGGACATTCAGCCCAAAGCAGTGCCTCAAAAGTTGCACTCCAGTACATGCGTTTTATACCCTAGGTAACCAATTAGGTCACCTAATACACATCTAATACATTGATACATCAATGTGTGCACCCCCTCCCGTGCTGGAGAAAGAGTCCTTTCTTCTGTCAAGGACCAGACATTTCCCATGTCTATTTCTTATCTGCTCGAGATTCACACAGGCTTGCCATGTTCTTACCCCCTGCACATTTGCAACTTTCATGGTGGCTAGAACCAGTTACCACTGTGCCTTTGATTACCGTATTCGAGGTCAGGCTAGCGTGTTAGCTGTAGGTTACACAAAGTTCATTTTGTTCTTATCCCCCCTCCCTTCTGGAACAATTTAACTGTGGTGTTTTTACTATGTGGCCTTCCTCTGGCCAACTACTTTTGGGGCCTTTCTCTGGCCAATTACTCTTGGGGTGTTTTGGGGTGCTGCAATTGGTAACAGTAGCTACGGATGAGAAAACGGGGCTGGTGCTTAGGCCATGTCAGTTTCTAGTCCATAAAACTTCTGCTTTGAGCCAGGGGATGCCTCAGCACCGAACTGATGTGCTGCCAAGTTATCGCAGGTGAGATTTCTACAGCAACAAGAACTAGAATCAAGCTACTTGCAGTCATTCGGTTTGAAACAGCTGGGACTTGGATCCATCAAAATCTGCTCAAAATCTCTTCCAAAGTGAATTCCTGCTCACACGTAGGCAGAAGTCTGTTTACATGCCTGTTCTCTTACCTTCTCCTGCTGAGGAGCCATTTTTTTGTGTATCTGGTTCCAGGAACAACTGGAGAAAGGCCTTCTTTCCTTTACTACCATACTGAGCAAGGAAAGCCTCCGCTTTGTTCTGTTTCCCCCTTTTGGTAAGGATGCTTCTCATACAGTTCCCAAGAAGCTTCATATGTTTGCTGAGCATCCCTTTCCAAACTTTAAGGATACCAGGCAGCAGGTCTGCACAATTGATGCAACGCACCATGGATTATTTAAGGCCATTTGACACATGCCAGTGACGCTTTTGCATATTCAAACCATGATGATCCACTGCTGTGGCTTATTGTGTCATGTGAACCTGGCAAAGGTGGCTTATACAAGGGCCAAACAACCTCACAGATCCCATGGGTTTAGGGTAACAACCCTCACATAAGCCAACCTCACCACAATCTCACTGCACAATATGCAAAACAGTCACAGCACATCCACAGCACCTTCAGCCTACATAAGTGGCAATAGACTGTGGTGATGGTGAAAACCTCAAATCTGTGAGCCACTTGTTTGCCTTTAATTTTTAAGCTCTGTTTGCTTAGCCTGTTTTCAGTCTAGCACCAGAGTACATTTCAGAGATCTGCCTGAATTCAGAGTAAGCTATTAGGGACTTGTTTTTAAAAACAACAGATCTCCAGAAACCAGTAATTTGTCTAGTGGGGCTATGTGGTCTTTGTTGTAGAAATTTGTCCAGTCACAGAAAGTAGTTCCAATTTGGCAATATCCCCCAAATGGAGCAACCAGTGTAGTTTTGTTGTGCCATCACAAGTGCTCTTGATGAACTTGGGAGAGTGGAGTTCCTGTAATAATATGACCAAAACCAACTGTGGCATTGCAAAATCCAGAAGGTATGAATGGGTACAGTGCCTTGTGCAAAAACACAGTGAAAACATTCAGACAAAATATTTGTATCTGTTTCTAAGAGAGGAACGCACAGAATGCATGGGTAGACACAGGGAAACCTAGAAATAATTTTAGATAGATAAGATGTTCAGTGAAAAATTGTCATTGTTTGGGCATCAGGACCATTTCAGTGTTGGAACAAATAATATAGAAAAAATTATACTCTTGATATTAAGAAAATTTTGTTATCCCTTTTTAAAAGGAGAATGATGGACTGGGGTAGAGAAGAAGAGCAAAGAGTGGCTGGCCTTTGTGTTTGTAATTTTGGAAACAGCTGAGAAGGGCTTTGGTTGGGGTGCTGAAATCTGGCAGTGACTCTCTCTCTCTCTCTCACACACACACACATACACTCACTCACTGAAGGGAAGGAACAATGCATCAAAAATGCCCTGACATTACAGGTGAATCATGCTAACTCATGTCTGAAGTTAGGTTGATTAGGCCTGTTCCCAACATAAGCCTTGTCTCTTAGTGTAGCATGACTATCTCCCTTTGGTGTTGACCAGCCTCCAAACGTTCAGGTCATGAGCAGAAGGGGTTACCAAGTTCCACGTAAGGATCAGAAGGCCTGGGACGCTTACTGGGTGCATGACAAGAAGGCTGCATACATGCAACTTCGTCTAGCGTATGTGGATGGAAGCAGCACGTAAAGATATTCTGTCTGTATTTCAGCTATAGAACTTCCCCAAAATGCAATAAGGGCCACCAGTTTGGAAGGCTTTAAAGGGAATTGGGGAAAGTCATGGAGGAGAAATGGCTTCCAGTTCTGATGGTTATATGCCAACTCCAGTTAGAGGCAGTATGCCTATGGTCTAGGGAGTCGCTAGGGAAGTTGAGCAGGAAGGTGCTGTTGCAGTCATGTCCTGCATGTGGGCTTCCCCGTGGGCAGCTGCTCGGCTGTGTGAACACAATGCTGGACTCTTGGTCTAAGTCAGCATGGTTCTTGTGTTCCAAGGTTGACTGGTGCTGCTTGCACCTTCGAATTCCTAAGGGGAATTACACCTAGCATTTGAGGGTCCAATTTGATGGAGCTCCTTCATGGTGCAAGACTACTTAGAGTGAAAAATGAGATTTAGTTGCATTCCCTGTTGCACATGACTCCTTCAATGGAGCTTACAATTGTCACAACTAATACAATGCAAGCACAACATTGATGTATGTTCTATAACAGCATGCAGCCAGAGCTTTTCAGAACAGTAAAGTTCTAAAGTGGCAAGCAGTCCTACTTTACAGAGGATAGTCCTCTATTTGAAGACAACTTACGGAGAGTCCTAAGGTATTACATGATAATTGTTGTAAGTTGCACTGAAAGACCAATCATGGACTATGATTTACAGCTTATAAATTGAAGTAAAAAAACAAACAAGGTAGGAGGAAATGGTGCAGGCGATGACTGTTCCTCCTCAAAGACATAAATTATTATAAAATTAATTTTCTAAACCACCACTTTTCTATAAAAGGCTCTCGGGGTGGTTTACAAAATATATTAATTCAATATAAAAGACAGAATAAAATACAATATAGAACAAGGTACAAGAGTTCAAAACAAGATCAAAACAGCTACCTGAAGTAATAAACACAACAATTCACAGAATTTATAAAATTTATAAAATAACAGCAATACAAAAGTATTAAAATTAGACAATTCATTATCATCACATAGCCTACAATTAAAACTAGCCAACAGCCAGAGTCTCAGGCCCAACCAGGCATCAAATGGGCATCAGTGCCCTTTGGCCACCGCCCAGGGCAGAAAGTCTCTGGGGAAATAGGCCAGTGTGATGAGAGCGGCTGTCTCCAGAATAGCTGCCCACGAACGTCCACAGCTGGTGTGCTGCTCCGCGGCTCTCCCCTCACTCTCCCTGCACTCTGCCAGGTCCGTCCCTGCCTCCAGCTGACCTGGGGCTGCATCTCGAGGGTCCCTTTGGCCAGCTGGTGCTAGATAGTAGAATTTTGTACTTGGCCACTGTGTATAAAAATGCTGTCTCCAAAAACTCCTGTAGCTAAAATTGTGAGGAACACTTGTCGATTCCACAACAGCAAATGCTCAATGTTTTATTTTTATTACCATAATTGTCAATCTGCTCTCATAAAAATAACATCAATGAGGAATTGCTCTGATGGCAAAAGAGGAAGTCAGTAACAGGCCCCCAATGCCTTGCAAATAGAAACTGATTAATTAAAGGACAACTCTAGAAAACCATAGTCATGAGTGAAAAGAAAGGGGCAAAAGAAAGAGACAAAGTAGAAAGCAGCCCGTCTTTGTTCGCAAATGTAACAATAACAAAGACTATTAAAAAGGGAGACCAGAAGAGAGAGAGAAGGAAGAATACAAAGTAAAATATTTATTTATTTATTTAGAGCATTTTACAAAGTAAAATATATCCGTACAAAACAATCATTTACAGCATCCTTAATTTACAAAAAGAAACAAGAGAAATGAGAGAAATCTTACATTTCAATTTCAAATACATACATTAATATAAGCAAATTAATATAAGCATCCATATGAGATGGTTGTAGGATACACTCAAATGTAGCAAGTGAGGTAAGAAATCCAAGGATATCTGAAGCTGTTTCTTCTGCCTCCCTTGCCTGAACACCACTTTTCCAGTCTGCAATGGTCAGGCTGGCACTGCAGCCTGGTGTGTTTTTAGACAAACAATGGCCACAACTCAGGCATGAGAAAGGAAGGTAACATGGAAAACTCTGACATCAATGATGTCTAAATTCTTTCTGAATATCAAGTGAAATGTGTGAGTCCAAGAATCTCAAATATGCACGTTGTATTCTGTTCTTTACTGGATTATTAAGAATACACATAGACTTTTACCCACCATGTTCCATTAGGAAGCCCAAGGCATGGCATGAGGTGAAGTGCATGGGTGTAGGAAAGGATACTGTAAGAAAAGACATTTATGAACTGTTCCCATTTTCCATTCTTTCCTTCTGGAAACACATCTTTAACTTACTTAAGTAAGACATCCAAAAAAGAGAAGTAAATGTCATATTTTTATGTTTTATTGTCATGTAAAAATTGAACTACAAGCAGTCTAAGATGAAAAACACTACATAGCTGAAAAACATACCCAGTCGGGCCACTTCACAGCAGCAAACTGAGCCTTAATTCATCCATTATTTACTGGAAAATTGTACACATATCACTTATGTTTTCTGTAAAGAACCTCCACAATTGTGAGTGTGATGAACATGGACTAAATTTAATTAAATCTAAGTTTAAGCCAAAAACACATAGGATTTCTTTTATATGCTACATATAAATTTGAACATAGTAATCAGAAATGGTAACAAAAATCACCTTTTTTTGACTTAATGCTTTCTGTAATTTAGTGAATTGTTCCACACTGCCTGAACAAGTCTCAGGTTACCTTTCCCACAAGAGCAACTGGTATAGCTAGAATGTAAATCATCAAGCAACATAGCACAGTACCAAATATTGTGATTATATTTGCACTTGCTGTTCTCCTGATGCTAGATATTTTCAGACACTTATTGGTAAGTATTCATGCATGAATTTGCCCTCAGACCTTGTCTCAGTTTAGTAAGCTGAAAAAGACGCTGTATCTACCTTTCTCTTTGGCCTTCTTAATCTTCATCACTGGATGCGTATCGATCTACATAACTGAAAACGGGAAACTTAATGGGCAGCTCTCCCCATCTACTGAAGATTTTGTTTGAAGTACTTTTGCTGTTTTTGAATACAACCACGAAATTTTTTATTTTTAAGCAGGGTAGATCCAAGCCTCGGTGTACCATCATATTTCCCCAAGTCTGAAAATAAAAGATATGTCTATAAGCAAAGTGACTTCTCAGTAATACGTTGTTAAGTATGTACTTTTAAGTATAAAAATACTCAAATTAACTAAACAATAGTGGACACTTACTTGTCTACAGTCTTTGCAGATGATTTCCCCATTTGCCTGATAATCGGCTTCTTTTGCTTGCAGGGTCTTGTTTTCTCTTACTATATAAAGGTTCCTGAAAGGTTTTAGAAAGAAACATTGGTTTTAATAAGTGAACAGGAAATTACAACCTGCTGAATTTCTGGTCTTCTCATAGGCATGAAAGAATCCAAAAGAGAAAAAATTCCACCTTTGGCAGCAGGTAATCAGGGCCAAAAAGTTCCTCAGGTTACAAGATCTTTTCCATTCTGGGGACAGGCTTGGGCCCATTTCAACAAGCTAGCCTAGAAATCCTCTCCCTTCTGTCAGGTAAGATCACACGGGCAATTCTTAGTTGTGTAGTACTCAATGTGGAATACTTTACTGCAGAGATGGGCAGTCTTTGGGCTTGATGGAGCTACCTAGCCGTTTACAAGAACCGTACGTTTCACTAACCAAATGCAGCTGCAAAATAGTGAGGAGGTGGGAGATAAAGTTAATTCACTATTGCACCTCATAAGACATATATTGTACATGGATACAAACCTGTATCTCCTTCCCTGCTCTTTCCCATTTATATTTTATGCAGACAGCCATTTTCTGGAGGGATGGTAATTTGGATTCCAGATAAACCCAAGACTGGAAACAGACTTTGACCCTGGAGGTGGGAATTCCTGCTCCGATCCCCACTCCTGCTAACTGCAGCCAACACAACAAGATGCAATTGGCTATCTCCCCGTTCCTCAGGCAGGAAAGAGAGCGGGGCTGTCAGTATATGGGAGGACTTAACTTTCCTTTCACAGCTGATTCATTATTTTCATTAAATTCTCATTCTCCTCTATCTTTCTTTTCCTATTAAAATGAATAAAGGTGGAGTGGAAGAAAGTGGACTGTATCCTCGAAGATATAAAGCCTTGGCAACCATACAGGCAGTAAACTGGGTGATATGTAACTTACTCAAATTCCTTTTTCACATTGATATGATGCATGTCATCAATAACCTGAATGTCTTCTCCAGAACATGTTTGCTTCATACAGTTTTTGCAGAGGAATGTAACCAAGGATGGATTTTCCTTGTATGTTTTACACTGTTGTTTCTTAGCTTTCATTTTTAACTCCATTATACTTTGCAATTGGAAGCTTTTAATCTAACAGTGAAACAAGCACACAAAAAGTCATCATTTGCCAAAGATGCAAAAAAGACAGACTGATTATTGAGGTTCATTTTGAGAATCTGATACAAGAGACATTTTCAAACCACACTTTTTCCCCCTGACTATTGACTACTTGACCAGAATACTGAAAATCTACTTTATGTTAGTTTGTTTTGTACACCTTTGTTTTTAGTTGTAAGTTTGTCATTTGCCATTGTAACAGCTCTTCCTTTCCCTTGCCCGTACCTTCATAGTATGCAGCACAGGCATACTAAATATTTCCAAATTAACAAGTATTGTTACAATACAATTATTTTAACTCATTTCTAAAAATATGAGAATACACCGTTCCACTCTTTTTTCCAGGGCCAAACTAGCTGCAATAGAGGCACCTTCTTTTGTTATTCATTTGTCTGGTCTCTTTATATTTGTGCGCAATTGGGTGCCTGCAGCACTAGTAGACTCCTAATTCCCATCAGGCCCAGACAGATTGTTAATGGTCTGGACAATGGGCGATGTGGTCTAACAACTGAAGGATCACAGGTTTCCCACACTAGAAAGCAGGGAGAGAAGGCTTTCCTGTAGTCCTTTCCAGCTTATCAGTTATACACCTGTTTTGCAGATGGAAATCTCTGGTCTGGTCAAGAGAGATTTGAACTAGAGATTTCCTTATTCACATTCTTAGTCACTGCTAACATGAGTATTACACTCCCACTTCTAGTTTGGCACTATGAAAATAATCCTTATTTATTTATTTATTTATTTTTGGATTTATATTCTGCCTTTTTCCTACAAAGGGCTCAAGGCAGCTTACATCTCCTCCTCCATCTTATCCCCACAACAACAGCCCTGTTGGGCTGAGAGGCTGTGACTGGCCCAAAGTCACCCAGTTGGCCCCATGGCCGAGTGGGGACTAGAATCCAGGTCGTCAGAGTCCCAGTCCCATGCTCTTAACCACTACGCCACACTGGCTCTCAATCTGACCCTTAAACAGTTAGGACTCCACTTTCCTACAAGTTAATTTTCTTACACGTAAGGCAGCTGCATCTTGCTGTGTCAAGCAATACACGATAGGATCCTTCTAGGAAGTGGAACAAATGCCTTCAGTATGGAAGCTCAGCTGCTTTCTAAACACTTTTCACGTGAATTCTTTGCATATCTATTCGATGCCATGAGCACATAGGTATTTTCATTAGCAAACCAAAGAAAGGAAAGCAAAACCACTCTATAGAAGGAAGAGGAAAGTTCTGCTTCACACACTAGGACAGCGCTCTCTTTTGGCTTTGGAGGAAGAGCTGTAGCAGCCGACACATGGTCTGCCCTGTCAAGGATCTACTCATCACAAAGCAAGCAGAGGGGCAAATCTGAGACTCGGAATATACCACATATTGGTAAATGATAAAATTAAGTCACGTATTGCTCTTTTAAGAATCAAAGAGGCTCTAACAAAGGTCCAGGTTTTACCTTATGCAAATAGTCTTCTTGGGACATATTCTGGACACGCTTAATTGCTTTGTGCATCATTTTCTCACGGTAGATATTGACATTTTCTCGTTCAATAGCTTTTGACCCACTTGATGCCACGAGTACATAGGTACTTTCCTCTGCTCGAGCTCTGCCACGAGCCTGGAACAGACAGGACCCAAAACAGGAGGTAAGAATACAGAAGGCTGATTTATACTGAGTCTGCCTCTTAGTCCTTCTAGGCCAGGACTGGTGACACTGACTGACGCCTCTCTCCAGACCCAAAACAGGAGGTAAGAATACGGAAGGCTGATTTATACTGAGTCAGCCTCTTAGTCCTTCTAGGCCAGGACTGGTGACATTGACTGAAGCCTCTCTCCAGTGTTTCAGGGAGCTTGCTTTCTGAGCCCTATGTGGGGTAGCTGGAGCTTAGGTAAAAAATCTGAATGCAAAGCTAGTGCTCCAACACTGGGCTATGTTCCCTCTTACAGAGACAGGTGCAAACAAGATACAGCAGTTCTGTCTTTCTGCCATTGAGAGGAGCCATGTTAAATCATGGTATGTATCTTGTTTCTAGCAAGGATGGCCAGATGGTTCCCAGAAGCTAATAAAGAAACATGTTTCAAAGTATAATAATTCTGAACAAGGAGCATTTGTTTAACTAGTATGGTTAAACTTTTGAAATTTGTTTCTAAGTTTTCATTGCATTCAAGTAGCAGCTGGGAAGGAGGAAGAATGCAGGCCATTTCCTCTTGTGCCAGTTTCCCAATGACAATAATGCCTCTCACCAGAGCTGCTTTTGCCACCATTAACATAGAAGCCATGCCTATCTTTATGAATATCAATTCAGATATTATGTACCTGTGGGATGACACCATGGTGGCAAACATGGCATCTGTCAGTACAAATGGGTGGGGGCAGCTTTGCATACTCCCTATCCTATTCTGCATTTTTTATTGATATGTGCAAAAGAATGGCTTTTGGATACTTGCAAGGACTACATAATACAGCTTCCATATAGCCTGAAGTACCTGATCCTGCCTAATCTTGGAAGCTAATCAGGGTCAGGCCAGGTTGAAATCTGGATGGGTGACTTGAATCCGGCATTGAGCAGGCAATTGGACATGATGGCCTGTTAGGCCCCTTCCAACTATATGGTTCTCTGATTTTAATAGCTTCCATATAGCCTGAAGTGCCTGATCCTGCCTAATCTTGGTATCTAAGCAGGGTCAGGCCTAGTTAGAATCTGGATGGGTGACTTGAGCATATGATTCTATGATTATTGTTGTAAAGCACCCAGAGACCTTCAGCAATGAGTGGTTTAGAAATGTAATAATAATAAAAACAATTTGAAGGCCATCTTCTCTAATCAACACATTTTGACATGCACATGGTGAGCATGTCGTGAGTGGAGCCGGCTGGAGCTGGGGGTCAGACTAGATGGCCTGGGAGACCCCTTCTGACTCACTCTGTTTCTATGTTTCTATAATCCAGCCATTCTCACTTCTAAGTAGACACAAACAAGCTGAAGTTCTGTATTCTGCTTCTTTTCAGTGTTCTCCTGAGTAGGAATCAAGAGGAGTTGGCAGGAAACTGAAGAGAGTTTAAATTTGGATGCTTTTCTGTGTGGCCTTCAGGATATTAATATGGTCATTGCAACATGCCCTTTCCATGCTGAATTTTAAATGCTCTCAGAACCTGTTGTGGATTTCAATTTCTTAATTTTCTGTGTGGCTTTAAGACTATTATCATTAATTATTAGCATTCTTTTGTGGGGCTATATGAATTCTTCCTCCCCCACCCCTGAACACTCACACTCTTTCACAAGAGTCCATTTCTTTTTATGTGGTATCAGTCACTGGCTGCTGGGAATTCAAAAGACTGCTCTTTTGGCCCACTTCTGGTGACTCTGTCCCACCACCAGCCTCAGTGGGCACCAGCAGCCACTGGCAAATGGATCAACTCGCTTGCTGCACACACAGTGATGCTGTGCTAAAATGGGAGCATACAGTTTGGTGTGCCTTCACAGTTAAGTCTATCACTCCTTTTAATAGCAGATTCAGCTGCAAAGTGCCAATAACAGTGCAATCAAAATGAGGCTGCTGGTATAGAAGAAAAAAGAAGGGGATCCTTTACAGAAGTACAGATGTGCAAAATGGCCTTGATGGTAAAAAGGGGTGAGGGGAGCCCCAAACCAAAAAGTTAGCCAATAGAGACTGTGCATGTTTAGTGGCAACAAAGCTGTGAGTGTCTTGCAGGAGAAAAAGGGAAAAACCAGAGTGGGAAGAGAAACGGTCAACCCATGTCCTGCTACAAGATACACCGTCTGGCTAAACAGCACACGGAAAAGAAGCATTCTGTGCTTCATTCATCTGTTCTAGGTTCCACTTGTCCTGCCTATTAACCAATTTTTAATAACTGAAAGCATTTCACCATGTTGCCTATATAATCACAAAACAGAACTCTGAAAATCTGAGTGTTCAAATGGACACACCTGTATCATAGCTGTTTCATTGGTAATGAGACCATAGCGTATAACAATGTTACACTCCGGAATATCCAGGCCTTCTTCTGCAACAGTAGTAGCAATAAGTAGATTGATTTTTCCAGTCCGGAATTTTTCAATGACTTCTCTTTGTTCATTCTGTAGAAACAGATTGTCAACAAAATTATGAAATTTTCACAGAATGACAATGCCTTCACTGTCCATAGAGAAAAGGGATGATTCCTTTGATTTCAGTTAAATTTATCCTATTTAAATACCTAATGTTATTTCTGAACCAATGTACAAAGGAACTCTATTTTCAATTAACTTATAGCCAGGGCAACATTTCTGGAAATTTTGAACAGTAAAGATTAACACACTTCCAAGAGGACAGTCTAACCTGGTGGGGATGGAGAACTACATTCCCTGTTCAGAAACACAAAAGTCCCTTTCCTTCCCCGCCATACACATACAAATGGAAATTCGCCTCAAGGAGATATAGAAATAGAAAAAATATGTACTGCTTGCTGCTGCTGAAATATATGTTGTTTAATACATACAGCAAGTAAATAATAACAAAAACATATGCTGTGTGCAATCAACTGACCAAGAGTAGGCAACTTAGAATCCTCCAGATAGTCAGAAATTATGAAAACCAAACTATTAGCCATGTTGACCATGGAGATGGGACTTGTAGTCCAAAATATCTGGAGGGCATCAAGTAGTAGGCTTACTGGAACATCCTAGCTCTGAAAGTTGGATAAAAATAACTTGTAGTATTACTGCAGACCATATGGGAACTCACAAATCATCATGCAGTAAGATACTATTTTGGCATTTTTAATTTTATATTCACCCATCTCTATCTGGTAGTGCACAACTGAAATGGAAATAATCTCTAGTCTGATGACATTTACAAGAAGGAAGCCACATTTCTACTTAAGCTAGTAACCCCCCCCCCCCCATTTCTCTTTCTTGGCCATTGTCCTTAGGAACATTTTCTGGGCTCTTAGAAAAATCCTGGGAGAGAAATCTGAACCTCTGTTTCACTGTGTGATGATGTCCTTTCCTCTTTAAGGAAGCCTGAAATAGGACCTTAACTCTGTGAGTGACAGTGTAAGTTCACACTCCAAAATGAATGAGAGGGGAGCTCTTCTATTATGCAGGATGCCAATATTGCATTGCTTAGCACCTTCTTACTCCTTTACTGAGGACACAGCTGGAAAACAGGTACAAGATGAGCTCAGACCTGGACATATAAGCAAAGGACCCAGCATAAGTCTGTATATATGTAATTTCTGTCTTTGTAATGCACCAGAATAGACCTGTTCTCAGGAGAAAAAAGTGAAATTTGAGATATTAAAGAATGCCACTTTTAGTGCCCATTAACATAATTTCTGGAGATCTGTTCAAGTACTTCGCCACTACCTCAAATGGCAAAGATGAGAGATGGTTAAAATTTCTGTTCCAAATCACTGGTTATATGTTCTCTTCAGAACAAATTTATGAACAAAATCTGATAATACATGTTAATGTATGTTTTTACCTGAGTCATGGGCTTAAATTCACTGCTATGTCCAGCACCGATAAGGTAGTGAGCCTTCACTCCAATTTCCTCAAATTTGGCTATTTCTTTAATCCACTGACACAGGGCAAATGCACTTTGCCGAGTCTTTGTGAAAATGATTCCTCTTGTTTCAGGTGTTTTCGTAAACTCATCCATCAGTGTTGAGCGCAACTTTGCCAAGTTGTTGTTTTCATATTGTACATTAGTAGCCAACTTCTGCAGTTCCTTCTTGTTGGCTATTAAAACAATAGATGCCAATGAACAAAATGTCACCATTTAAGCGGAAGCCTTAAATGAATTGCTGAGCACAAACACCATCATTTGCTATAGAATCCCATGAGCTAGCTTCCATCACAGAATGAAGACAAAATGGCACAAAAACTGAGTAATGATTGCTAAAAAAAGAGGAGGACGAGGAGGAGGAGGGCAAAATAATAAGAGACTAGACAGTAAAGAGACTAGCCGTGGAATCCTGTGCATGTTTCCTCAAAAAAAAAAAAGTCCCAAAGAATACAAGTCCTGTTTGTGCAGGTTTACAATCTGAACATAAAATGTGTAAACAAAACTGGTGTGCAAAAACTCTTAGTAAAGATCACTACTTTTGGGCATACAGGGCTGGGTCATGCTAAACCATGGTTCTGTGTGACATGCACTCAGATTTGTTTGAGAAGTCCAGCCTGCTCACCATCCTGGGAAGAGTCTGCTGCTAAAGTGTGATAGATACCAACCATGGGCACAGAGCCAGAGATCCTACAAATACACTATTTTGTTACTTTGCATTCCTTTGACAGATGTCAAAGATGAGTGGCCAGGTGAATATGCAGACCTTTATGAAGCTTGAAAGCATTCCTTAGCAAAACAAAGGTTGATGGATAGGACAGACACTAAGTCTGGTGTTCATTTCTGAATTGAAGCTCCCCTTTTTATTGCTAGATGAATCTGCAGACATCTACAAACCGTAATGGGATGCAGCAGACTAGCCATGTGTGTGCACTTGGTGTATACTTTGGGGAAAAGGTGGCTGTGTTTCTTCTTAATGCATCTTTTAACTAATTTCCCTTTTTAAATACAGAAGGGACAATTCAAAATAACTGCTGATATTAAAGAAATTAATCCTAAAGATATATTTGTAAAACATATGCAATATAGAATTAGCTGTAATTTTCAGATGACATTTCTGAATGCCCCACTGTGATGACCTGACTATAATAAATGGATAGATTTTGGCCCTTGCTTGCACTTGTATACAGACTTGTAGAAATGTATGAACAAATTCCAAATGTCCCATACCTACCATAAAATAAATCTATAAGAAATGTATCTGTTTCATCTGGTTTTGGTGCCATGGGTATATCCTCACTGTCCTCATTCACTGCCACCTTCTTACTCTTCTCTTCTTTATAAAAGTTGTTGAGATGGTTATATGCATCAGCCATTCGAATTGTGTCATTGATTAGCAAGGCATCATTGTATTTCTTCAAATGTTCCGCACAGACACGCGCCTTGCGATTTCCTTCTTTAGCAGCTAGGAGGGGAAAAGATTTACTCACAAAACTGATACACAGATGTCTGAGGATTTGGATAGTCAAATTGGCAATGCTTTATGAATTCTTAAACATAAAAGTTACCTTTCTTCTCCTCTTGAACTGCCCACTGTTCGTAAGGCTGAGATCCAAAATCAGCATTTGGGTTGAACTTGCAATAAGCCTGGATCTCTGTTATTATGTTTATGAGTTTCTCTTTAAAAGGATCCTAAAAAAGGAAAATATAGGCAATTCCTTAAAGAGAAGCTGGATATTTTGCCAGCATCAACAAGGGACAGAATTCCTGTAGTTTAATATCCTTTGGAGAAAATTGCTAAAAGCAAGAATTTTCTGCCCTCAAAATTAGTAAAGTGCTCCTTTGCTTCACAACATACTAATCAAAAGCAATATGGATCTACAGTTTATGCAGTTAATAAGGAAGTAAGTAAAATGAAGGATACTTAGCAGATCAGGGGTTGGTAGCTTAAGGTCCCAGAGGCAAATCTGGCCCCTGAGGGATTAAAACAGGTACCCAAGTTGCCAGACTTTGGCAACAAGAACTAGTAGATGACTGCTCTGTTTGCGGGAGGGAGGGGGGTAGAGCTCCTACTAACTTTTCATTTGTTCCTTGAAGGCCTCTATGTAAATTTTACAAAACAAAATAGTATGTAATTCCCTAGCTGACATTTTGCAGTTCTGCTTGCCATGGACAAAGAACTGGAGCTCAGGATTCAGACCTCTAGCAAGGAAAGGCAGTGCACATTGGAAGGGGGAAGTTAGCTGCCCTCCAAATCCTTTTACTCTTCCTATAAAACATCACGGGGTTCAGAACAAGTCCTCATGCAATGCGGAGCTACCCTGCTCCTGGACATGCACAGAATTACAAGAGTTAATTTAGTTCATTACATTTATTCATCACTTCATATACCTGAAGGTGGTCCCGAAGGAATTTAGAAAATAGTAATTTAAAATGAAGAAAACTCCAAATGTAGTAAGAAATAATTAAAACCATTCATATTTATGAAAGTATCCATCTAAAAGATTATCTAGAGAAACAAAAATACCCCTCTTCTAGCACAAGAAGAAATATCTAAAATAGCCACCAGAACAGGATCAGTAAACTATTCAAATGACCAGGCCTCCCTAGGCCTGCTGGATACTTCGAAATAAAAAGCAGAAGGCAGGTTGCTGTACCTTGCAATAATGAGTCACTTGAAGCAGCTAGGATACCGTTGTGCCAGGAACACCAGAACCAGCCTGGCCCTTCACAGGAAACAGAGGCCCTGCTGCACCTCACGTTGCTGCAGCCCAGCAGCCCAGCTGCCTTTTACCCCTGTTACTTGCAGCCACCATGACCAACGGAGAGGACTGTGGCAAGATGAAGTTTCTATGCTGAATGAGTAGCCAGGCGGGGGGGTGTCTGGCCAGTTCCAAAATATTTTGTAGATGTGGGCAGGACTGAGAAACTGGCTTCCTCACAGATAGCAGAAACTCGTCTGTATCTTGCGGCCACTCCAAACCAAATAGAGCTGCCAGGCTGCTGATGGGGACTGGGCGTTATGTTCACATGACTCCAGTCCTCCGTCAGCTTCACTGGCTTCCCATTGAAGTCCGGGCCCAATTCAAGGTGTTGGTGATGACCTATAAAGCCCTAAACGGCTTGGGTCCTGGCTACCTGAAGGAGCGCTTGTGTCCATATATGCCCGCCCGCCCGCCCCTTGAGATCAGCGGGAGAGGCCCTTCTCCGGGAACCCTCCGTGAAGGAAATTAGGAGGGTAAGTACTCGGAGGAGGGCTTTCTCTGAGGTAGCGCCCAATCTATGGAACGGGCTCCCCAGAGAGGTCCACCTGGCGCCATCGTTATTTGTTTTTCGGCGCCAGGCGAAGACCATTTTATTCAAATGTTATTTTAATTGTTAATAGTATTTATTCATTTTATTCTTTGGCCAGGGCGACTTAATTTATACTGTTAATTTATATTATTCTATTGAAGTTTATTTATGGTTGTGAGCCGCCCCGAGGCTTCGGCGAATGGGGCGGCATAGACGGCTCATTCATAAATTAATAAATAAATAACAAAACAAAACAAAACAAAACAAAACAAAACAAAACAAACCATCTGGCTGGACCTGTGATTTGCCCTTCCCTTCCATGGAAGTAGAACTGTGTTTCCATCTGCCCCCTTGCACAGTAGCCATGAGTCCCTGCAGAGGTTGCAGCCTGGCAGGGGAGGGATCTAAAAAAATTCCCATATGCAAGAAGCAGAATCATACCTGGGGTTTCCATTCTGCAGTTGTCCATGAACACGTCATACCAGTGTTTCGGACTGCTGCGAATCCAAAGAGTGAACAAGAGAGAAGCCTCAGCCGCTCTGGGCTGAACCCAAGCTTGTGCTCAACAGAGTTCTGCTAGCACTAGAGGAAGGGAATCGTGTGGCCATGTCCCCACTGCCCCTTCCTCATGCAGCTGCCAGCATTACATCCCATGCGGCTTCACAGAGTTAGCGGCTCTCTGGAGAAGCATGGGAAATGTTCCTGGAGGCTGAAGGGGGAACTGGAGCAGACTGCCGTCCCACAACCTTCCTCCAGCAACGAGTTTCCCCTGGATCCTGTTTTCCTCTGTGATAGAAGGAGGCCGGTCTGCAGAGGAGGTATTGCCAATGTTCCACCCCACCCACCTAATATCTATTCATCTTCTTGTATCTTATATTGGCCTCTAGGGGCTCTTATTTCAAAAGACTCAAAGCAGTCATACATATTTATGGTGAGAAAGGTATCAACAATAAAAATCCATACCTGCCCTTTCTCCTCTGCAGTCTCAAACTTCCTAGAGGGATCTTTCACTTGATTATTCAGTTGGAAGTCATGCTCATTAACTGTCATAATCCCAGCTGCATCAAGATTGGCACATATCTGGAAGAAAAGGGGTTATATTACAGCTATAACACATGCATTTGGTTAATAATGCTGCCTAAACCAGTTATATAATTCCCAGGAAATTAAATCTTAACACATACTTTCTAATTAAGCTTTCATTACCTCAGATTATTAATAAGGGTGACCGACCATGAAGAAATGCGTGCCTGGGTTTGTTTTGTTTTTTTGGCTTCAGTAACAAAATTCTGCCCAATCCATAATATAGATTTACAACTGTCTGCAGTTCAGCTACTTCAAATGATTTGTTTCCTCATCCCCAGATGGCCTTTCAAAATCCCTCCCATCTTTGCCTTTGCAAGCTGGCAAATTAATGTTGCTGTTTTTTAGAATAAAAACACAAAAATTTAAAAAATTGAAATAAAAAACAAGGAAACAGGCAGATCCAGAGTTGTGCTTCTGTGATTGCGATAGCATTTTCTGATTGCAGGAGGAGTTGAAATCCAGCAGCGGCTTGTGCTGAAGAAAATTAGGAAGAGGAGGTCATTTCCCCCCTCATTTTCCTCCTAACCTGGACCCCAGCCCCGTGTCTAGTTCCTGGTCAACCCAAGAGCAGGGGAGAACTTTTGGATAGGATGGGCTTGGATTCACAGCCACACCCACTCTTCAGACTGCATGGGGCATCCTAAGGATCTCCATCCTGCAACAGGGATGTCTTGCTTGGGTTCCTGAATGCCCATGACCTCATCCCAATCCCTGACTTGGTCCCTGACTTTGGTCCCTCACCTCATCATTCTCCAGTTCACGTGTGGTGGGCAGACCAGGCAGCAGATTCGAAGTCATTGTCAGAGCTTTGCCTGGACACCAGAATCCCTTTCGCCTACGGCCTACTCAACAAGGTATAATCCTCTTGCAGCCACTGTGCGGGTCTCAACACAAGGCATTCATTCTGAGCTTGAGATCCTTCACAAAGGAAGCTGGTAGGTCCCTTTACATCACGCTGTCACCTTCCAGGGCCTCTCCAAGGTTTGGCAGCCATTTTCATTACTTTTTTTCAGAATGTGAATAAGGTAATAATTTTTGAAGGGATCACAAACTGGAATGAAGGTTCATATAATTCACCAATTGTGCTACAGTGCAGCACCACCTTGTGGCAATTTAGTAGCACAAATCTAGGAAGCCAGAGAAAACAGAAAAACCGCCATGCAGATGATGCCCCAATGCTGCTATTTGGGGGTTTCGAAATTTGTCCAATTGAACCACTTCCAGAATATAGTCTATAGTTCTCGCCACAAACTCCATTTCACACATTTTCAGCAAAGCAAAATCCTCCCAGAGCATTCATCAAGGCTCCTCACTTTTCGGTGCTCTGAAGAGCCCTCTCACATGCAGGGAATGATCAAGCAAATGAACCTGCCTTACACCGAGCCAGACCGGGCCTTTGCTTTGACCCACTACTGTGACTTCAATTGGAAGCAGCTCTCCAGGATCTCAGGCAGGGAGTCTTTCCTGACAGACTTGGAGTTAGCAGAAACTGAACTCAGCTCCTAATGCAACCACACACAGCAGGGGCATAAACACTAAAGTGTGGGGCCTGCCCCTGGAGGACATAGGGTTACTGCTGAAAATGCCCCCCCACCCCATTTTCCCTCTTCCCCCTTCAAACCTGACTGTGTGTCGTGGGGAACAGGAATTCGCCTCAGATTAGCTCAGGAATGACCTCAGTCCCCACTGCCCTCAAATTGTGACCATTTCTCCAAAGCTCAAGAAATGGCCTGCTCCTCCTTCCGGGTCTCCAAAGGCCATCCCTCTCTTCTTTCCTCACCTGGAAATCTGTGGCAGGCACAACAGCCTCACATGGAGAAAAGGTGGATATCTGACACCTTCCTCCTACTGGGGCACTGACCAGACCCAATTCTGTTCAGCTTTAGTACACTGGTTGTGCCTGCAGACTATAGCCTGCCACCATACCAGGATGATAATAGGCTGAGTGGGAAGTTCAGCAAAGGCATACTATTTATTTTAGCAGTCAGTCTCCATCACACAAGTTACTGCTCATACAAAAAGCCTGGATCCTGTTCAGTTTAATTCTCCTTAAGTTTGGTTTGCCTGGAAATCTGTGGCAGGTGTGGTAAAAACTTTTAGAAACAGCTTCCAAGCAGCTGCTCATTCTTCTCTTCCTTCAAACCACAAATCTGAGGTACATCAGGATCTCAAGCTGAATAGCTAGCATCCCCTCAATACGCACACTTCAAGTTCCCCCCAAGATGTTTCCTTCTGTGCAATATTAGTCATGGATGACTTACTTTCAGAATATGTTCCTCAGCCTTTGATGCGTTTTTTGCATTTCCTACACCAGGTGAAGCTGTGAGCCCCAGAACCTGTGGCTGAGGAATCAGTGGCTTGCCCTCTTTCATTCGCTTCTCATTCTTCCTCTTGACTTTCAAATAGCGGCGCATGATATTGTTATAGACAGCTTCCTTGTGTGTATGATGGCATTCATCAATAACAATCAAGGAGAATACTGGAAGGCATTTATCACAACTTGGTCAGTTCTCCTGTGCACATAATACCACACTAAAACAATCCACTTCATTTTTGTAGCAGGGATTATAAATGGCTGGTTGATGAATCCGTATACATAGGTATCTCAGAATATAGATATATTTGCTGCTTTAAATTATCTAACATCACATTGTAACTAAAGCAATACACTGTACATTGGACTGCCCTTGAAGACAACTTAAGCTGTTCCAAATTCTGCAGTTGGCCTGGCTTGACCTGACCATCTAGAGCTGAAGTGTGCAGATAGATCAACAGATGCTCGGGAATTCAATTCATAGAAACCTTTGCCATCACCTCCAATGGTCACGAATGCTAGGGCTGAAGCTCCAAACATCAGGAGAACTACTTTCTATCCACCCCTGGTGTGCAGATCATTATACTGGTCTAATGCAAAGTGTTGTTCATTTTTAAAGCTCTTTAGGGCCTAAATCAGGCTTGCCCAACCTGATACCTTCCCAACTGTTTTGGACTTCCGCTGCTATCAGCTTAGCCAGCATGGCCAATTAGCAGGAATGAGGGCAGCTGTAGTCCAGAGGATCTGGTGGGTCCCAAGGTAGTCTAGATCTTTGATACCTGAGGATGTGCTTCTCAATGAGCAAATATATATGCTTGCCACAATACTGACTACAAGTTGCTGCTCTTCAGAATACAGTCGAGCCTCTTAAGACCAAACTGCACATACCTCCATTCTGGACTGGGGTTCCACATTAGTTTTCTACTAACAAAAATTCTCCTCACAAGCTCCTAGTGGTAAGCAGGGTCTTTAAGGCAAATAGCTACGGGGGAAGTTTTGGCATGAAACGTGAATGGGGCTCTGATTTAGACTGTAAACAAATTCCAGATCAGGCAACAGTATTTGCTTTTTTCTCTCTCAAAAAACAAATGACCAGGATAAAGATCTAAAAAAAGAAGGAAATGTGAATAACATTAACGTCAAACCCACAAGGAGATATTCATTTATCTGTGTTACATGCCTGATAACTGGACTCCTTCTTCTTCATCTTTGTCTGCATTTTCCAACGCATTCTCAAGAATTTTAGCTGTGCAGATAATGACATCGGAACTTCTGACAACCTCAGGGAATGAGATTTTCAACTGAGATGCGCCACTCAGCCTAGTCACATGGTAGGAATGCTTCAAGTGGGGATAGAATTCTTTCTGGAAATGCTGTTCAACCAATGGTACCTTCAGAACAGTTTCCAACAAAAAATAGATGAGGATAGATTTAATGGGCTTAAGACAAGATCCTTGAAAAGGTATCATCTATACAACAGCATTTAAAAATCTCCTGCTGAGCTCATGGGGTTAGCAGCTCAAACGGCCAGGCAACATGAAAATAAATGGTTTATGGACAGCTGTATACAGAATCTGATCTTTTGGGAATTAGGTTAATACCTGCGATCCTATAATTCCATGCTTCTATGAATCATATAATGAGCAATGGCAGAGTTAGCTCTGGACTGAATGCTCTTTTAGTGCAGGGGACGCTTCTAGGTGTCATGCTGAGTGGAATCTACCTTCAGGGCAGAACAGGATGTACTGGAAGATCTCAGTGTAATATGCAGTAAATCACCACGGTCTCCAAATTCCCAACAGTTAAAAACAACCATTTCATAGGAACTCAGATGTAGATGTTTAGATGCATGTTATCGTGTAATCTGCCCATATGGTCTTATTATAGGCAGACTAAAAGAACAGTAAATATATGCATGTGTGAATAAACTGCCAGTGTATGGCATATAGGAGGTTATTAATTTGACCCTCAAGCCACTATTTTCCATCTGGATCCAGTTGGCGGCTTGGCTCTCTTGCTTGTTCTGCTGCATGGGGCACTAGACTTCCACCCCAAAGTGCTGCTTTTAGGACACCTCTGTTAAAGGGACAGCATACCTTGTTGACAAGCACTATAACTTTCCCGTCTTCTTTTGCATTTCTCTTCTTGTCCAAATGGTCTTTAGCAACATAAACAGCCACTCGGGTCTTGCCACTGCCTGTAGGCAGGCACAGGATAATATTCTTTCCTTCCAGGGCTGGTTTGGCCACCTCCATCTGGTAGTCTCTAAGACACAGCTGGGGTTCAGGTGAAGCTCTTTTGTCTCCATTCCCAAGATCATCTGTAATCGAGAGAAATCAAGATATACAATCCAGGGGGGGAAAGAATGTTACAGGTAGCTCTCAGTAAATGTACATTTCCCCCAAAATCCAGATTTAGCTGGAGACTGGACCTGTACTGCTTATCACTTGTGACCCAAGAGAAACCTTTTCCCCACTGTCTGCCTGGAACAGCGAAGACATGCACGTGTCAGAGGTGGCCCAAGAACAGAATGCTGTTGTCCTTCCCTTCCTCATGTATAAAACCCAACTAGATGGGCAACTGGGTCTTGCTCGGACCCTGGTGATGCAGTATCCTCTACCATGGCCCGAAAATGACAGGATAGCTTAGGGGGGACGGGGGGGACGGGGCTCATGGCACACACACAGTTCTGTTCTCCAATGCTTCACTGGCGTTCCTTGCTCCCCTGCTTGCCAGCATCTGCCAGCTCAGGGGTCTGCCTCAATCTTCCCGACAGAAGGAACGACCCTGGTGTGTGGATGGGAGCACCTGCCCTGTGATTGGCCTTGTGTCACAACTTCCACGGGCTCCTGCAACAGGATACAGACCTGTTGCAGTGCATTTGGCTTCAGCGGGAAATTCCTGCTGGCAGAATAGAGAGCAAGGCAACTCTCCAAGCATGAGTTGTTTGACATTTGCACATTTTCCTCCAAGTTTCTGATTCTCTCTCGGGCCATTAAAAAAGGAGATGATACGCTGACCTTATCCATGTAGTTCCCTTCACCCACCATCATAAAAACCTTGTGTTCCTCACAGAACCACTGCTGTGGGCTCATCAGTAATGGTTTCATTTTTATTTGGTATGCCACTTTGACAGGATTCTGCCCTTTGAGTTTGTCATAAATTATATAAAAGCAGTGCTTTTTTTTCTCATAGAATGCACCAGAACGGAGTTCCAGCACTTTGTTTGACAGATTTTCCAAGTAACTTTTGCAAATTTGATGTTTGGTCCATGTGGATTTGAATCGCCCTGTCGAGCGTAGCAGGTCAGCGGCAAAATCATTAAAATGGTGCATGCAGGCTGCTTGTGTGTTGAATCCGATGCATGCGTACCTCACACTGCTTGTGATGGCGTTGTTCGGCTTGTGGCACTGCTCGGCTTGTGATTGGTCGTGTGGTCACATGCTGAGTGCTTACTGCAGGCGGTGACCATTATGTTTCATTACACAACTGACGTGTGTGGGTGTGTGTACAGTGATTGACTATGTGCGAAAGGTGAATAATTTCATGAGTTCCGGCACCTTTTTTCTTACAAAAAAAGCACTGTATAAAAGGAATCTATTAAATTAAAAAAATGATTCTGAATTGGAACTTGAACTCTTCTGGTGGAGAACCTGTCAACTGTTGGGATCACTTGAGACTTCCTCCTACCCACTGAGCTATACAAGTACTGGATCTACAACAGCAGTCATTTCTTCTCTGTGTTTTCTTGGTGCTGGTAAAAGGACTGTTCGGTCGCTATGTTGAAGTTGCCTAGGAATCCATGGCCCTGCTTGAGGCTGAGGCTAATCCTGGAGTTTGTTGGTGTGAGCTTCTTCCTTCTGCATCACAAGGTTCTTAGCCACTATACTGCATTGGCTGTTTAGAGTTTAAGATTATACCACAGAGGTGTTTTTGCAGCAGGGCTCTGAGTACCTTCAAGACAAGTTCCCAAAATTCTGGGATTCAATAAAACTCAGATGCTTATTATGCTGTCTCCCTCTGCATGGAACATTTCCAATTATTTGACATTGTTCCTCTCTTCTCACTCTTAAACAGCACCTGAAATTAAATCTAAATCTAGATATCAACTATATGCTTTTGGGAATCTGCTGCTGATTGTACTTTATGTTACAATTCCCTAAACGAATTCCATAATATTCAATGGAGCTTATTCTGAGTAATACATAGGATTGCACTTAAGTGCATTTTTATTTTACTATAGGAAAACAACAACACTGATTTGGTATTATTTCTGTGATGAATCTTTTTGTTGCTGTTGTTTTTGTTGAAAGTCTTCTGGCCTGTAGATGGTAGGTCACAAAACAAACAAAACCCTACCAGCAGTATTATTAGTATTAATCCATCCAAGAGAAGGCACCCTGCCTATCTGCAAGCCCGGGATGGCAGACACAATTATTTACAATTTAACATTTTAACATGGGAAAGCACAACATATGCACCCTGCAGCCCAAATTACTGCTTCCCCTTAAATGTTCCATAAACATCCCCTAGGTAACTAGGGCCTTATGAAAACAGCCCATGGAGCAGCTGGCAGTTGTGATGGACTCCATGCCGGGACGAGTGAACAAGCTTCCATCAGCACTCGGGCTTCTGGCCAATGGATGGGTGTTCCCCTTCCCTTCTGAATAAAACCGTATTCGAGAGAAGAAAGGTGGCTCACTTTGGCCCTCTGGCTCTTGTTGGTGAAATCTGCAATAGACCCAAATTTGAAATTCTAACAATCCAACCAGAGGATTCCTCAGCAGGTGACTTCCCCCAAGCTATGTTGACTCCATGGACTGGTTGCTTTTTTAATTTGTAATATTACACACGTTAAGTCCAAGAAGATTACAGAAATTAAAAAATCAATCAGTAATGCACATTTCACCCAAGTGCTAAAGAGTGAAATTATGGATTTTGTGCATTTGCGTGTATTTGTTTGCATACGATCCAGTTCTGTCCATGAGGAGACAATGGAGCAGGTGGTGCCTGACAGTCTGAAACACTGGTGGAATGGAAGCATCCATACATTCCTGATTCTTGTACTTCCAGGGAAGGATGAAAACAGGGAAATGCTCCGTCACCTCATGGATCTTGAACTTCTTTCAGTCCAAGGGCTGAACTCTGGGTTGGATAAGCATTCTAGGACTGCATCCCAGGGATGGACAGCAAAAGCGCTGAACCAAAGGCAAAAGGGTGTCTCAAATATCTTAGCTTAAAATGATCACTGCTGGTTCTTAATCCTTTTAGAATGGGGTGAGGGGAATGCACAACTTCCAGGAATCTAACTGGGGAAAAGGGTCTGGGCATCTGGATATCCACCAAGCAGCATCTATCCCTGGGGAAGAGGTTCTGAAGTCCTGCTTTGTATTGACTTGGAAGGGGGTGAGGTTTGCTGTGGGGAAGCAGAATTTACCCTCTTCCTCTGATCCTGAATTAGCAGTAAACTCAGATAGTCTTTCTCAGATGTTTTGCTCAAGACACCGTGTGAATAGCTCTGACAATTTAATTTCCAGGTGGCACTAGATTTAGTTGTATTTAGGCAGTCAGGTGTTCCCTGCTGCTGCTCTGTTCTTGTTTAAGCCAGCTTTCCCCAACCTAATGCCATCCAGGTGCTTTAGACTACAGTTCTCAAAAATTCTGGAGGGCACCAAGTCGAGGAAGGATGCTATAAGCTTCATGAGAGAAGTACTGCAGAGAAAATAGTAAGCAATATAGTCCCTTAGACAACTATGATGAGCAGGGCTAGATGTTACAGAAGCCACAGGATCAAGTATTATACAAAAGCTGCAAGAATACACCAAAAAGAAAGCGTGGTCGACTGGCTCAAAGAAGGCTTTTGATAATTTGAAGCAGATAGCTTGACAGGAGGAGACTAAGAGCAATACCCTTAAGCTGCCCCAGCAGCTAAAATGCTTTGTGGCATATTCCTAAACATACAACTCAGCTCCACTGAGCTTAATGGGGCTTATTCCTTCATTATCTAAGGACCGCAGCCTCAGTTACAATCTATGGTTCCATCTGACATAGCAAACAGCCAAATCAAAAACACAGCAATATCGATGCCCCAGTAGCAGCGCTATCTGGTCATGCACATGAAGATTTGGTCCCAACAAGTCCAGTGAACATTTGCTTCTAGATCTTATTTCATGCTTACTAGAGTACAATGGAGAAAGTCATACATGAATCATCACTGACGTGGCTATCTGTCCAAAGCTTTCGCTCTTATCACTGACATCTGCACCTAGAAAACTGACATGCAATTCTGGTAGACAAAAAAAATATTTATAGAGGTCTAAATGTGTCACGGCATACAGTTATTTCAGTCTTAGGTTACAGTACTCTCAACTTTGATATATCACAGCAGCCCCCTTTCCCACTCCCCCGAATCTTATTTCCTATAAAACAAGTAAAGGGGAAATTTCAGTTCACACACCTGATGCAGAAGCTACTACCTCATAGTTGAAACAGACAAAGCAAATCAGAAACATTTCCAATGTACCCGCTCTGACATACTTTCTATGCTTCTTGTCCCACTAGAGTTACTGGTTCTCAGTCTTGCCAGATGTCTGGGACACAATTTTGAACATCGTAACTGTATGAACCTTTGCTTATGATACAAGTGTGCAACTGGTAGTCAATGGTGAAGGAACCTGGGAGCTACGGGCAAAAATATTTGAAGGGTTACCAATTGCCCACCACAACCATATGGACAAGGTCTACTGGAGGGGTGAGCAACTTTTGGAGGCTTTTTTGTGCTCTGGCACGGCCCACTGACCCTGCAATACTAGGGTCAGCGGTCCATGCCAGAAACAAAGGAAAATTTAAAATTGCTAGTTCACCACAACATTTCATTAACAAACCACTCTGTAGCACTAGAGCAGATACATTTAACTGGATTCAAAGCTGACTGCAACCCTTTTCACTCTTTGTAGTGGCTTAGATGACAATCCTAAACCCCCTTATTGGGAAGGAAGCCCCATTGAGCACAGTGGGACATACCTCTACATAAACGTACAAAGGACTATCTTCTAAAAAAACTTAAAAAAAAATGAGTAGTAGGTCTATGTGAGTGTAAAACCAGCTCAGCTTCTTCTGTGACCCTTTGCTCCACCGCACTTTCTACAATTTTCTATAGCAAGCAGCGAAGACAAGCAAAACTGATGCCAACAGTAAATTCTTCATGAAGTAGGGAGGGACAGGGATGGTGGTAGAGGACAGTAATGTAGTGGCACACTTTGCCTTCTAATACAGTAAAATATACTGAGTAAAGAATTTGTTTATTTAATTTATATCCTGCTTTTTTTCTATAAGAAACTCAAAACAGCTTACATCATTCTCTTCCTCCTGCTCTCCATCTTATCCCTACAACCCTGTGAGGTAGGTTGGACTGAGAGCCTGTGACTGACCCCATGGCTGAGCAAAGACTAGAAGCCAGGTCACCTGAATCCCAGTCCTACACTCTTAACCTCTACACCGCACTGGATATGAATGGATCCAGGGAGAGATTTTGTCTTTTGGAAATATGGCACCAATTGGGACTAGTTCCTTTCAATGCACACATCCATATAGAAGGCTGGTGTGGGTGGAAAGTCTGAAGCAGGAAATATTTAGAAACATACTAACAGAGCGAGTCAGGAGAGGCCTCCTGGGCCATCTAGTCTGACCCCCGGCTTCAGCCGGCTCTGCTCACGACATGCCTACCATGTGCATGCCTAGCCTATCATTGAACATCCTCACCAATGGGGCCTCAAACATCTCCCGTGGAAGCCCATTCCATACCCTTGGGGTCCTAACTGTCAGGAAGTGCTTCCTGGCATCTAAATTGAACCTTGGTTCCCTGAGCTTTGCTCCGTTGGAGCGCGTCCTGCCTTCCTCTGCAGGGGAGAACAGGTCTCTACCCACCTCCATGTGACATCCCCTCACATACATGTATGTCGCCAACAGATCCCCTCAGAGTCTCCTCTTCTCCAGGCTGAAGAGACCCAGATCCTGCAGTTTCGCCTCATACAGAATCCCCTGCAAACTGGCCACCAACCTTATGACCCTACACTGCACCGACTCTAACCTGGCTATATCCTTCCTGTAATGAGGGGCCCAAAACTGAGCACAATACTCCACTTGTGGGCACATCACAGTCATATAGAGTGGTAGTAATACCTCTCTCGATCTAGAAGCCACACTTCTGGCTATGCAACCAAGGGTGGCGTTCGCCCTCTTGACCACCGCATCACACTGCTGACTCATGTTTAGCCTGCAGTCAACCAGCACACCAAGGTCCCTTTCACAAGTGCTGCTCTCCAGCCACTTGTCCCCTAACCTGTACTTATGACACCTATTCCTATGCCCCAAGTGCAAGACCTTGCACTTATCCACATTGAACGCCATCCTGTTGTCTCCTGCCCACTTCCATAGTCTGTCCAGATCCTTTTGGATCTGGAGTACTTGCTCCTCAGTTGTGGCCACTGCCCAGTTTTAGTATCGTCTGCGAATTTGATCAGCAGACTGTTCACCCCTTCTTCCATGTCAACATGTCATTGATGAAAAGATTAAACAGGATCGGCCCCAGGACAGAGCTCTGGGAGACCCCGCTTGTCACTGGCCGCCATCCCAATGATTCCTCACTAACAGTTACCCTCTGCTTTCAGTCAATCAACCATGTGCTAATCCATCAGACAGTGCTTTGGTCTATCCCAAAACTCCTCAGTTTCTCAACCAGGATATCATGGGGCACTTTGTCAAAGGCCTTGCTGAAATCCAGGTAAACCACATCCACTGCATCCCCTCCATCTAGCCACCTCAAAACCTTGTCATAGAATTCCACAAGATTTGTCTGGTGGGGCCTGTTTTTATGGAAGCCATGTTGTGTGGCTGCCAGTCTCCCTCTCCTATCTAGCATCACTAGATCTTTTGCTATTATGAGCCTTTCCATTGTTTTTCCTACAATGGACGTAAGGCTAACTGGTCTGTAATTCCCCATGTCCTCTCCACTACCCTTTCTGAAAATTGGGACCACTGACGCCACCCTCCAGTCCTCTGGAACTTCACCTGTTCTCAAAAATGGAGGCCAGCAGGCGTGAGAGAACCCCTGCCAACTCTCTAAGTACTCTTGGGTTTAACCCGTCAGGGCCTGGTGCCTTTGTAATGTCCAATGCCCTGAGGAGCCCCTCAACTTCTGGGAAGTGACTCTAATCTGTGCCCCTAAGTCCCAGGCCTCATCTAATCTCCTATGCGGATATCCCCCGTCCTGCTTTGGGGAGAACACAGAGGCGAAATAGTCATTTAGCATCTGTGCCTGTTCCCTCATATCAGTCACTGGATCTCCTTCCTCGTTATTTAGTGGTCCCACTACTTGTCTCCCCTTCCTCTTCCTATTTACATGCTGAAAGAAGCCCTTTTTGTTGCTCTTGATATTCTTTGCAAGTCTCAGCTCATAATCAGCCTTAGCCTTGGGAAGAATCCTTCTGCAACGGGCCTCCTTTCCCGGTATACCCTTTTGTCTATTTGCCCCAGTACCCATTTCCTATGGAGGTTCCTCTTGCATCTAATTCCTTTAACCACCTCCTTTCGCATCCATGGTGGCGCTCTCCTCCACCTCCCCACCTTACTAACTAGAGGTATTGTCAAGGCTTGCGCCTCCAAAACCTCCCTTCTGAGTGCCATCCAGCCCTCAACTTGCTTGCCTTCCAGTAACCTATCCCAGGAGACTTTCCCCAGTCTGGCCTTCAGTTGGCCCTCTGGAAGTCCCAGCTTCTAGTGCTCGACTTGCTGCACGTTCCCTTTCCTGATCTCAAAGCAAAGGATGGAGTGATCACTCGCATCCAGAGCTCCCCTAATCTGTACTTCATCAATCAGCTCCTCCCTGTTGGTCAAGACCAAGTCAAGGATGCCCCCCCATTGCCTCTCGGACCCTCTGTGTGAAAAACCCTCCCTCTATAGCTTCTAGGAAGCGACATGACCTGGCTGTCACCACCGAGTGAGTCTCCCAAGTAATATCCGGGAGATTGAAATCTCCCATAATTACTGTGTCTCTCCCCCGAGATATCCTTAGAGTCTGGCCTGTCAGGACATCATCCAGGGACTCAAGTTGACCTGGAGGGAGATAACATACCCCCACTGTCAGGTCTCTTTCCCTGTCAAAACTCCTAAGTTTCACCCAGACTGCCTCTACCAAATCCTCATCTGTGCTGCATTCTATCTCACAGCATCCTATCCTTCCCTGACATATAAAGCTATGTCCCCACCCCTCTTTTCCTTCCTGTCCTTTCTAAAAGGGCGATACCCCTCTATGTTTACATTCCAGTCTTGCCTTTCATCCCACTAAGTTTCTGTGATCCCCACCAGGTCATACCCTCCTATTCCCAGGAGAGCTTCAAGCTCTTCCTGCTTATTGCTCCTAGCATTAGTGTACATGCACCTCAATTCCTTCCCACTGCTTCCTTTCTTTGGAGTCCCCAGCCTCCTTCTTCCTCCCATCTTCCCTGAAACCTGGCCTCTCTTTGTAGGAGTCCTGTCAGGCCCAAAATTTGCTCAAAGGATTCTGGATAGCAGAAGAGACTTAAGGTCACAGAATTTCTCAACCTGCACTCTCCTCAGATTTTTTGGACTATGCTTCCCATGCTAGCTGGGGAATATAGAACTTGTAATTCAATGCAACTGGAGGGTGCCAGGTTAGGGAAGGCTGTTCTGTATCAGGCAGCTGGACTGACCACTGTGGGATTATTACTACCTATACAGATGTTTGTTTCCCATTTGTAGATTGTTCCCATTTTGTAGATTACTGCTAAAGGTACCACATCTTTATGAAGTGGAGAACTGTGGACTTCCTACCACTCAGGCAGCGGGGAATGCAAAGCCAAATGTAATTCATCCAGCTCCAAGTCAAAGGACTGCATTTAGTTCACTACAAAGTGCTCCCTCTGCTGGAAAAAGTAATCTATTTTTTCACAGGGTTGTTGTAAGGTTTCAAGCAAGTTAATGTATGTAAAGCAGTATGCAATGTACTGTGCATATAAAATAAAGAATACAGACTTTGAGGGTTTGAGCCTTCATGCCTTCTCCCTATTTAGCTCTGCTGCAGAAAAAAATCAGCCTCATCACCTTCTATTTTAACTCTGATTTGTTCTCGAATGAGCTACTGCTTTTGTAGCCAAAATGACAGCAGCCACAAACAAGGGTGGTGTCAACAGATTGAGATGTGAGACTCTCAGGGATACAGAAAATTTCCTTGCGTTGGAAACCTTAAGGAAGGTAACCCAAAGAGAACTGAGTATGCTGAATAGTCATAGAACGGGCTGGCGGGGGAAGCACAGAAAACTGGGTGGGCGGTGGAATCAGACAGCGCAGGAGCGCATGGGCGACTGCATGGACTTGCTGACATGAAAATCTACTAGAAACCCAGCTCTCCGTTTGTCATTTGTATACCTGACTCAAGGATGTATCAAAATGGCTGCACCATTTCATTGGCCCAGTTTGAAGGATCAATCTAGGAAAACATTTCCAGGTTGTTATTTATGGTGTTTATAGCCGAGGCAGTGTGTAAGGGGAACGTTTTCTCCAATGTTTCCTTATTTTCCTTTTCCTTTTAACTGCACAATGCTTTTCCTTTAACTGTATTTAAAAGTTGTCAGCTGTGGCAGCAGCCATTGGCAGAGTTGCCAGAGGGACATGTTTTAATCATCAAAGGTAAGGTAAAAATGAGGATAGGAGAACAGAAACTTGCCTTTCTTGCTGCTCTTACAGAAAATACCCCCAACTCCTGAAATGCTCCCTCCCAACATCATGGAGTGCCTAAGATGGACCCCAGAATCAGGCAGACCACTGATTCAGAGCAGCTTCATTCAGCTCTAGATGAATCAGTGGCGTGAAAAGATTTATAAAACATATAGGTTGACAGGTCACCTGAACTTGCTGAGGCCTCTCCAAATGATTCCCCTGAGGCATTCTCCTCATCAGCCACATTGGGCTGCAGCTTAGCATCCTGCTTCAGATCTTCCTGAGTTGCAGAAGCAAGAGCCTCATCACTTGTAGTAAGATTATCTGAAGAGGTCTCCCTTTCACAAGGTTCTGTTAAAACAAAATAAAAGTTACAATCCAGAAGAGAAGCATTCTTTTGATTACAATGGAACTTCTATATGCAAGTGCACAAAATAGAACATGGAGCAACACAATTATACAGATACATCATAAGCTAAGACAACCCCCTGAGATTGGAGCAGAGAATAAGTAACTCTCCAGATGTTGTTTGGCTGCAGTTCCCATCAGATTTAGGCAGAATAACCAGCAATGAAGAATAATTGGGGCTCAGTCCAACATCTCAAAAAGGAAACATCTCAGACAGATAGCTCCATGTCTAGTACAAAGCTCAATGTAACCTTTATCCTAGGCTATTCTTCTGATAAGAATCTCCCCAGGCCTGCCCCACAATTTGAAGTAGTTGTCTGCCCAGGTAAGGAGAAATCCTAGGTACATGTTTTTTTATAAACTTCCAAAGATGAAATGTATACAATCTATGGTTAAAACTCTTAACAGTGCATGTACCTGTTTACTCAGAAATGAGTCATATTGAGTTCAATGGACCTTACTATCAGGTAAGTGAATATAGGATTTCCACCTAAGTCAATTGACCATTAAAGTTTAACAGTGTGGCTTCTTTCTCAGTTTTATAAAATTCCAAGTTATTCCAACCTTCCATGCACAAACATGGAGCAATATGCATCAGGCTTTTGCCTTGTATCTGGTTGTAGTGTTCACTGGCCTAATTTGTTGCCTTCCTCATTGGTTTCTTCTATTCATGCATTTTACTCTTAGTCCACTTTCAAGCTCAGCATCTGGCTTTGCTGAGCTTATCTCCCTTGCTTCCAATGCTTCATTCACGGTCTCTGTCCTCTCCTGCATTTGCCGTCGAGGGAGCAACCTCTAGCACTGGGAAGTTTTGATAAGCTGGGCTGCTTAAGGAAAGCTGTGCTCTAACACAGTGGCAGAAGATTAGTGTTGGGCAGACAGAAGGCAGTTAATGCCTTGATACCAATATAGGGTGGTAGTTTTTCTGCCAGAAATAAAGCCAAAAGGAAATGGCACAGGGTGCAGATATTCTTAAGAACAATGCAAAGTGCTAGGGGGAAAAACCTGTAATCCAAAATAGCTGCTTATTTTAAAGGACAAAAATAGTAATGTCTATTCAGAAGTAAGTAGTATTGCGCTCAAAGACAGGGGTACAGAACTACAGTCTACATGTATCTCAGTTTAAGCCTCACTGTTTTCAATGGCGCTTATTCCCAGGGAGTACACAGAGTGGCCCCGGCTCCTGCTCATCACAGGATGGATTCTGCGGAGGAGAAGGTGCAAGAGCAAAATGGGCCTGAGCGCGCTGAATTTTCAAGGGCGCCTAATGAAGTTTCTCAGGCAGCCTAGGAGAGTCAGCCTGCTTTAGAAGGGATGGAAGAGTTTTAGAAACTATGATAACGTGGGCACAACATTTTGGATATAATATTGAATTAGAGAAATGGCAAAAGCTGTGGGAAAGAAATATTAAAGTAACATTAGCAACCTCATACAAAGAAAACCTGTATAAAATGTTTTATAGATGGTATTTGTCACCAAATAGGTTAGCTAAGATGTTTCCAAATATGTCAAATGGATGTTGGAAATGTAAACACAAATTCGGTGCTTTTTATCCTATGTGGTGGACTTGTGATAAGGCAAAAAAGTATTGGATTAAAATACACAAATGGCTTGAGGAAATGTTACAAAAACCTCTAACATTCAAATCTGAAGTTTTCTTATTAGCCATTGTACCTGATGGCGTTGGTAAACAAGGAATGTATTTGACTCTACATGTAACTACTGTGGTGAGGATTGCATTTGCCCAGCACTGGAAGAGAGAAGAGCCACCTACCAATGAACTGATTCTAAAAAAGATCTTGGACTGTGCAGAAATGGACAGATTGACTTTGTCTCTGAAGGAGAAAGAAGATACAGACTTCTATCAAACTTGGGACTCTTTTTATCATTGGCTAGAGAAACGGGACTATGCATAGATTTAAATATGTTTATAGTTTAACATAAAAAGAAAAAATGTGGGGGGGGCCTGACCCAGTAGGTCTGATGTTTCTGATGATTGATGGTCTTTTTAGTTTCTCTCTCTCTCTCTCTCTCTTTTTCTAGGTTTATTAAGAATAAAACTTACTCAAAAAAAGGGGGGAGGAAGGGATGGAAGAGTTTTCAGGAGCGGAGAGAAGCATATGCAAGACCCACTGATGGACCCAATAAGGAGGCATCAGGAGAAACAAGCTGCACAGCTGGAAGGGCTTTGCTGCTTGCTCTGCCTGGTTCTCCAGCAGCAAGCACCACCCTGCGGATGGGAACAGTGGGAGTTTCTAGTTTGGATTCAACTCTTCACATGGGCAGAAGGATCTTCCTCAACTTTGGTAGAAGGCTATTTCGAGTTCATACTGCTCTGCAATCTGTTGCGTTTCAAGAAAAGAACTGCATTTCAAAGCATTGTCTTGAGCTTGAAACCAGAAATAAAGAGGGAAGGGATCAGCTCACAACAGGTATTTCTTTGGCATGACAACCTTACAGTACAATCCTATGTAGGTTTAGTCAGAAATAAGTCCTGCTGAATTCAGTAGGGCTTACTCCCATGTCAGTCTGTTTAAGAGTGCAGCCTTCCTCTTCTTTCCTGTCAACATTTGCACATACACTTTCCTCACATGCTTGTTTGCCCAAAGACTGTGTAACCATAAACTGCTATTCTGAAGCAGCAACCTAATACTCTGTGAGATGCAACACAGTGGGGGCCATAGCTAAGTGACAGAGCACAGGGTTTGTTTGCAGAAGATTCCCCGCCTTGATGCCTGGCTTCTCCATATAATGTGAGGGCAGAGGGTGGGGGTCTCTTGCCTGGATTCCAGGAGAACTGCTGCCAGTCGGCACCCACCACAGTGGGACAGATGGACCAGATTTCTGATTAATGCCAGGCAAACTTCCCATGTTCCTGTACACTCATGCACTCAGTGGGACTTACTTCTGAGCAGGCATGCAATAGGCTTGGCCTATTGATGGGCAAAGTTCTGTGAGGAATGATTGGACATGATTGTTCTGAAAACCCTGAAATCGTAGTGTTACCATTTTTGTGCCCTCTTAGTTCGGCTGCAACGTGTGGGTGTCCTGCTTCCTCCAGTGCTTGCAGAAATGGTGAAAACCAGTGCTTCTTTTGCATTACTCTGTACAACAGTTCCCTCACTGCCTCTCCATTCTCTCGAGTATCTTCCACAGCTTTAATCTGGTTAAAAGAAGAAAATGGGTGTGACGCATTAGGGGAGATGGAGTGTGACATTTCTGTAAAACAACTCACAATGCAGACATATTCATTGTGTCAATACAAGTCACATTCAATACAATTCATGACTTATTGCTTTCTTTTCCTACCCTGTCTTACCTCCTACAGAGGTAAGGTTGATAGATACGCAAAACAGGTTCTTTTGTAGAGCAACACTTGGCTTGTAGAACTCTTTTCCCAGTGAAATTAAACTCGTCTGTACTTTATGTTCCTTTATTTCAGGGGCAGGTATAACCTAGAGCTCTACAGTGCTTGAGACTTCAATTCCCAAAATGTGAGACCACTGGCCATGCTGGCAGATGCTTCTGGGAGTTGAAAGTCTAAAATATCTGTTATTCTACCTCCTGTCCACAGCTACTTTACATGATTTGTTGAGCTTTTGATAGTTAATGCTCCTCTCTGGTTTTAGTATTAATCCCTGTTTTATTGTACAAAATGTTCAACTTTTTACAGTATAAGTACTTTGTATGTTGGCTCATGTACTCATTAAACAAGATAGTGATCACAAAATATTCTGAAAAAAATCAAGATTAAAACCTAGACTACTAACATTTTATTCCATGCTTGTAGTGAAAGGTTTCATCTCGGGAAGTAGCTTGTCACCTATATTGTTCAAAGTAACTGAGATGTGGAAATCTGGGCAATTGATTTAGAATGCATATGTTTTCCCCACACCTTTTAATACGGATTATTTACACATTAGGTAAAATAAAGCTGTTTCTTGGACTCTACCACTGCAAGCTACAGATGGGGTTGAGTGGCATATTTAAATAGACTTGTATGGTGATGGAGGAAGTTCAGAACGTAAATTAGAATGTGTAGTTTTATTTATGTTCTGTAGGCCTGATCTTTTCATGCTGCCTTTCAATGGAGGGCCACAGGTTCCCCACCCCTACTTTAAAATTATACATTGTTATCAGATGTCATACAGGTTTGTTCAATGGAGCTTATTCTAATGAAAATATAGCTAACATTTTAGTCAGGCAGAGTAAGCTGGCCATCGCTGTGCTGGATCATGTGGCACTGTAACTGAGATCCTATGGTCCCCCAGTGGGTAAGTCAAAAGTACAATAATAGCAACAGAAAAAAGGAGGCAATGTATCAGTGACTGACTCTTCTGCAGTGATCCTAGGAGCTTTGCTACTAACTGTTGTTGTTATATAAAATTTTGTACTGTCCATAACTGAAACTCTCTGGGCAGTGCACAACATTTAAGTCACCCATCCAAATTTCAGCCAGACCAGACCCTGCTTAGCTTTCAAGATTACCCTGGGCTAACTATCTAACAAGCCTGTTATATGTCTGATTATGAATCCACAGTGCCAAAATTGTGCTGTTTAGCTAGAACTTATTTTATTACACTTTCACAGCATTTGGCTTGGAAAACTCACTCAGTTTAATAGTGCTTACTCCCAGGTAACTGAACACAGGAAATAGGGGGCTACTTCCTAAGTAGTAAAGTATAGGATCACAGCCTTAGTTTGGTACTGTACAAGCAAACTGCAACATCCCCAATACTGGGGACATATATCCCTGTAATCTGGCCCATCATGTTTGGCCTCATTGCCCTGCTGCTGTTATCCCCGCTCCCAGACCAGAGATGAGTGGAGATGAGTGGGGATGTGGCCGACCGCGCGGCTTCTCGTGGCTGGCTGCTCACTCAGCAGGGCCAGGCAGCCCACACAACACCACCAGGGCTCAGTAGGCAGAAAGGAGCCACCCGCTCCCAGGGCCAGCCAAGCCTCTGTTCTTGTGTCCCTTGTTGCCCGGGAAGGTGCTTGGGAATAGCCACTGGCACCACCCGCACGGCTTTGCACCATTTCGGCAAAGCGAAAACCCCAACGGGTTGGGGCGGAATGCTGTCGGCGCCCATGCCTATGGCAGCAGCAAGGGTGGCAGCAACCGCTTATCTCACCCAGCCTGCGGCAGGCCTGGTGGGCCCCCCATCCCATTTGTGCACCTCTGGTCTCTAGGTGCACCGATGCAGGCCGGGGCAACCCGTGGCCTTCCAGATGCCCTGGCTGGTCGCCCGAGCTGGCACAGCCAATGGCGAATGACGAAGGCCACCATAGCTCTGGAGCGCCACGCCCCGCCGTCCCTCCAAACGCCATAGGCTTGTCCTGGCGCAGGCCATGAATTTTGGATCTGAGCAAAGACAGCTCCTACCTGCTGCAGGTCCTGGTCGTCGAGGAGATTCATCTGCAGACACTTCATCGCCACCTGCAGGGCCCGCAGCGCCTGCACCAAATGGCCGAAGAACACGTCCACCAGGTACCTGCCCAGGTCGTTGACCGCTTCGGCGGCAGGCGAGGGCAGCCCGCGCAGGCTGGGGTCCACGTAGTCGGCGGCCAGAAAGCCGCCCTGCGCCAGCGCCTGGCAGAACTCCTGGCACATGCCCGGCGAGCGCGCAGCTCCGTTCTCCAAGAGCTGCAGCAGCAGCTCCGCGGCCTCGACGTCCCCTTGGTTCCGCTGGGCCGCTCGGAGGCGATCCTTGTGCTCGTGGCTCAAGGACGGCATGAAGTCCATAACTCGATTCACCTGAATGCTATTCTTGATCCTGGACCTGAAGCAAGAAATCAGGTAGAGGATGGACTCGTCGTGGGATGGACTCGCCGCCGCCGCCGCCGCCTCTTCCATTCTGTTGCCAACAGGGACCCCTTCCTGCCTTCCCCTTCAAGCAGTCCAGGCGGCGCGATTGCAGGGATCTTTCCAAGCTTCGCCTCTCTCGGCCCAGCGCCTTCTCTCCACTCGGGGGAAGCAGTCGCTGTGCTAGCTTTCCAGGAACACAAGCCCCTAGCTCCGTGCCTTCCTTCTCGGTTACCGATCTCCTTACGGAGGACGCCGGAGTCACGCAACTTCCCGGCTTGCTCTCTTGGTTTTAACTAAGTTAGGCTGGCGGCTGGGGCGTCGCGTTTCTGACAAAACAGCAGTTTCAGTTTCTATTTCTGCTCTGGCGTTCGCCTTCTCAGGAGGAAAGCGGAACTGAACCAATTCCTTTTCAAGTTGCTTGAGGTGCTTTCCAGATTCCCGTTTTCCATGTCCACATTGCGCGGAGGAAATCAATTACATTTTTATTTATTTGTTTATTTATTTATTTATTAAAACATTTCTATGCCGCCCCTTGCCGTAGCCTCGGGGCGGCTCACACCATAATAAAATACACAATAAATTAAAACAATAACAATTAAAATATATACATTGGAATAAAATAAGCCGCCCTGGCCAAATAAAATTCAATGATATTAACATTTAAAATGCTGCTTAAATAAAAAGGTCTTCGCCTGGCGCCGAAAAACAACGACGGCGCCAGGCGGACCCGACTTGATGGTTTTTGCTCATCTGGAATTGAGCATTCCAGTTTTGCTCAATTCACTTTTAAAAAATTCCCTAGTTTATAGCTCGCAAAGTCTCTTGTGGCACCATGGAACACAATCCCAGTCATGCTTAGACAGAAAAATGGCTATAAACTCCCAAGATGAGGCAGTAGGATGAACGAGTTACATGGCTGGAAACTACATTCAGCGCTTAAGTTCTCTGATCCTCTTAGGCTGGAGAAACAGAATGTAGCGGAAACATCTGCCCATCTGAAGAGTTGAATCCAAACTGAACCCTCCCCTCCTTCCCTCCCTTTCAGAAAAGTTCCTGACTCCACCCTCGGTGTGCAGGCTAGAAGGGGGAAGACCAGACACTTAGTAATTAATCCACTCATTTATACTATTGTTTCCTGGCTGGGTCCAGGAATTCCTTTTGCACTGCCTCCCACCCCACACCTCATCTAAAATGTCTCCTTCCTCATGCTCTGCCCAAGAATATTCATTAGGTAACCTCCAAAGGCATCTGTCTCCCTTTGTCCTTTCGCCTCCTGTTCAGAATCAGATGTACAAAAGCTGGTCCCTCCTGCAGATGCTCATTTCTAAGCAAGACCTATAATGTTCAATGCAACTTGTTTGCTATGAAGTAGTTTTGAATGGCAGTGTTAGTGAGAACTAAATACTTTGTGGTGATGTGCAGAGTAGATTTAGTACTGCATAAGCCCAAGCTGGTTGGGTGAATATTCTCACAATTGCAGGCAGCACATTCGTAACAACATCTGGCTGCACCATCAAGCAACAAAGAGCGTAAAAATGTTTTATATTTACAGACAACAGGTTGTTGCACATACATAATCCTAACAATCTAACCAAGGCAGATACTGTGAGCATTAGAGTAGGTGCCTGAACAAGACACACATTAACTTTCGTAGAAGGCAATATAGTTTCTTGTTCACTACACGTCTAGCTGTAGCAGTACTACAGGATCTCATTTCCCTTGGATGAGGGAGCATGAGATAATTATATGATACAAGAAAGCAGCAGAACTGCAAACCACACAACAGATGCCCAGAGATCAACTACTCCAACTTGCCCGCCTCCAGGTTCTTCCTTACTTTTTAGCTAACTTCAGTTAAGTTCTCACAGAGCATACTAAACTTGAACCCTGAAGTGCCTGGTTGTTATAACCTAGAAAGAGCAGTGACCTGCAGCCTTATCCCTGGAAGTGGATTGCCCATCCAGGAAATGATCCTCTAACCATTAATTCGAAGCTGGGAATGATTGATGGCAAAAGGAGAAGGGGACGGCAGAGGATGAGGTGGCTGGATGGAGTCACTGAAGCAGTTGGTGTGAGCTTGGGTGGACTCTGGGAGATGGTGGAGGACAGGAAGGCCTGGAGGAATGTGGTCCATGGGGTCGCGATGGGTCGGACCCGACTTTGTGAAGAAACAAAACCATTAGTTCAAAGTGAAGAAATTTCAAGCAATGATCTCTGTTAGCAGTCACATTTATACAAACTTGTCTTTCACACAGCTGTGACATGTTGAGCCCATAAACTTTGTTTAAAGCAGGCTTAAGCAACAAGATATCCTCTAGCAAGTTTAGACTACAATTCCTATTTAGCAAAATCAGCCTGTTCAGTAGGTTGAGGTTGAGAACTGTGGTTCAACATGTCTTGAGATCCTAATGAAAACCCATTTGCAACCTAATATTCTTAAGCCTGTTTAGTTGAAATAGAAGCTCCCAGAATTCAATGGGACTTGCTTAATAAGTAGGCGTGGCCAAAGCTGACACCAAATTTCACAATAGTTTATTTCCCCCCTTTCAAATTTAACAGAACATAAATACAAACAGTTAATATACAATACATACCAAAATGTATCAATATTAACATCTACAACCCAACAAATAACTAAAAAAAAACACAACACAAAAAACATTGTGCACCCACTCCCCAGGAGGCCAGTTTATAGCTCCATTTTACTTTATATAACAATTAACAATTGTTAACTAAATTACTTTAGTTATACCCATATCCCCTCCAAAAATTCATATATTCTTGATTAGGCTTACAGCCTTTCCCTTCCATCAGTACTGCTTTTACAAAATCTTCTCACATTTCATTATATTTTACTTTTATTACCTCCTTTTTAATTTTATTTCTGTTGTCAATTTATCATTAACAATCATATTCCATATTTCATTATACCATTCATTCCTTTGTATAACCCAATTCTGTTTCCAATATTTAACCGTTACTAACCTAGCTGCCATTATCAGATTTAGGACCAATTCTTTCTTAACTTCATTTATATCCTGTTTTTCAATCAGCAGCAATAACAAAATTCTTGGTGACATTTCTAAATTTATATCTAGAATTTCTCTAATTTCATTACACACCATAACCATATCTTTTGTATATTATCACAATCCCACCACATATGTTAATAAGTTCCAATCTCTTTTCCACATCTCCAATAAGTATTAGAGTATTTATAGTCAATTTGGTTTAACTTAACTGGTGTTAAATACCATCTCCATATCAGCCAAACAGGTCCCCAACTATTTTTAAAGAGCTACACAAAACTTTTATATTATCCTACTGGAATGTGTTCTTAGCTTGTTTCATTTCACAATTCCTCAACACTTATTTTCTCCTTTCTTAACAAAGGTGTTTTTTAGTTGCTGCTTTTTAAAAGCTAGCTCAAGTATTCATCACTTTTTTATAGAATGTATCTCAGTTTGAGAAGGCAAATGTTCTAGATTTATCAACATGACCTTGGCCTGGACTGAATGAAAAGATACACAATCTAAGACACATATAAAGCATCTCAGTTAAAAAAAAACAAAAACAATTGGCAGTATTTTGTCTTTCCATGAAGCACATGCTTCGGTTTTCTCTTGCAAACCATCTTTTTGCGTACTCCTGCCACTTTTATGCATGTGTGTATACGCCGCAAGAAAAGTCGTTTTATGCCTCTGATAACACGGTCTCCAGTCCCCAAAATCTGCAGGATACCACAGAACTTTCTTCTGCAAAAGATTAACAAGGATCCCTGGGGAATATGATATCCTGAAGGCAGAACACAATTATGTACCATAATATGTCAAGCAAACCCATTCTTCTACAACCCACTTATGTGCAAATTGGATCCAAATCAGAAAGCTCCTCTTTTTGGTGTTGTTAGTCGCAAAGCCGTGCCCGACCCCATGGGCAACATTGACAAAACTAAAACTTCCAATAAACCCGGAAGTTTTAGAAAGAATACAGAATAGGTTAGTCTAACAATTTTTGCCTCTGCATTTTGTCAAACCTCTCTATATGTAAGCGAAAAGCACTCCACCCTTCCACTTCCGCGTTAGGCCCGCCTTTTACTTCTCTTCCCCCTTTCGTCCCACCTTCTCAGCTCGGAAACCTATCCCGAAAGGAGGTCGGCGATCACGTTAGCCAATCGCAAGCTTCGATAGGGAGGCGGAGCAAGTAAAGGAATTTCCGCCTTTTCGAGCGACGAGTTCGGAAGTCTTTGTGGCCGTTACCGTAGAGAGGAGGCCCGTTGCTCTCCGGGGAGCCTTTCAGCGGTTGACATGACGTATCCGGGGTTCGGAGCGGTGAGTAACGCGAGGAGGCGAGGGGAGAAGCCCCGCTTGCCCCGCGCTCTCGTGCTGCCCTTTAGGCCCTTTCTCTGGTTTTGGGCTACGCACTCAGCCTCGCTTTTGGGGTCCTTCCGGTCGCCCTCGCCGGCGAGCCGGAGTGGAGCAAGTTCAGCCGAACTAACTCAGCCCGGGGCCTTCTTTTTGAGGCCTTCGGAAGCCCCGTCTCTCCGTCTCCGCTATTTCCTTGCCTGCCCACGTTCTACCTTGCAGTTGGCTAGGAGGCCAGAGAAGGGGCTGTTACCCGCGGGAGAAGAAATGGAAGCTGTGCTTGCTTCTGGCAGCCCAGCTTGAATAAGCCAGTTTTAAATTTGCTTCCCCTTTTTTTAATCTCTTGGCCTGCCACTCTTGCCTGCCTTGGACGGCAATATTAAGTTGCTGCGTGTGGGGCATGACGTTTCTGGCCCTTAAGCTGTTGTTAAAGGTTCGAAAATGAAGGGGGGTAATTCTAATGTAAATGCTTTCAAAGATTAGATTCTTAAAAGCAGAAGCCCTGAGTAAGTTTGTACAATAGGATATAAGATGATTGGGGGATATACTCGAACGCATTTGGAGGGCACCAGGTTTGGAATTACATGTGAACTAGATCACTGTGATTAGTTTTTCTACTCCTGGTGTGCTGGGGACACTTTACGTGTTTAGCATAATTATCCTTATTGGGTGCAGCTTGTTCAGACTCAGTGAAGGTATATGGCAGACTACTTATCCCACAGAGATAATTGTGATGAGGAGCATGCAGCTGCCTTGTGAAGGATATGAAAATAAGCCAACCCTGCCTCATTTTCCTTCCCCAGTTATGTAAACTTTTTGGTACATGTAATCAGGGCAAAGGCAGCTGAAGTTGGCTAGCTTTCCTTTTCACTGCTGGCACAATTTCTAAACATTTCTGGTTATGCTACGTTATCGGAGCTATCTTCAAGTATTCATTTGACCCTGTTTGTTCCTTCACTAAGGTTATCAACAGAATAGCAGAGTAGAAAGTGTACTGTGCTGTATTTTTGTTGTTACAGCAGTAAAGCCTGTTGGTGGTTTCCAGGCTAGTTGCCAAAAATATCTGCTGCTTTAACTGCTTTTTGGTCGTGCTCTTTGGATTTTGGCAAACAGAACTGGATTACATGTGTACACTTGGGCATATGAGGCATTTTAATGCTATGAAAATGTCTCATTGGTAATGGGTATTGATACTGAGCTGGTAAATGTAGTGAAATATGTTTGTTCTGTTTTTTAAGTATGGAACTTATCGTGGTCAGATGCCAATGCAAATGGCAATGGGCCAGCCAGTCCCCGGAGGAGTGCCCAGTGTGGTCCATGGTGTTTCTCCTGGTTATTCTGTTTATTCTGGTGCTTATGCTGCTGCCGCTGCTGCTGATCCTTTGTGGACATTCTTCTCTGCTATTGCTGGACAGGTAAGTTAGTCTAAGATCATACTCTAAAGTTTTGAAAGAGTGCTGCTTTTTTGCTGAGTATAGTATTAGGAATAGGATAAGTTCTCTGGACCTTGTTCAGCAGTAGGTAATACATTAGTAGTATCTGTACAGCAGCTATGAAAATAATCTCACAAAATATAGCATGTATTTTTTTACTTTTCAAGATACTGGATTTCATGTTGTCCACCCCTTCATCTACTGCCAGCAAAGAAACAAAGGATATCAATAGCTTTAAAAACTAGTTCAAAAAAAGTTTTTTCCCCAATATGCTGGCCTATATGGGCAGAACTGAGGGATAAGCTTCTCTTTCACAGTCAGTGCGGAAACCACACAGATTGATGCAGGAAAAATTAGGAGAGCCATCTTTTTGTCAGCTTTCATTATCTTGTGGAATACATGATTACCTGTGGCTACCAGCCAATTGCATATTCAATAGAAGATCACTGTATAGATTTGCTTTAGATAAATAAATAGCAGATTGAAATGCTTCAGGTTTTCTTTTTATGAGTAACTGGGGAGAAGGAAATTAGAACAGCCTGTTTGAAAACTGGCCAAACGTTGGTCAAAGACTGTAATTAGTTTCCCATATGATAGGTTAGTACATGTTTAAATGACCCTGTGTTTATAGATTTATATATCTAATTTTCCAGCATCTTGTTAAAAATATTTGCAGACTCCCAAGTAAATCTATAAGTTTAATACAGCTTCTTGAAAAAGTTATTATCTTTATTTACTTATTCAATCTGAAAACAGATATCAAATGGAACTTCTTGCTTTTAGCTGCTGTTTTGGCAGCAGAAGTTTAGACACAGGCAGTCAAGGAAGGAAAAACTTCCTTGATAAGAAATTTTGAACAAGGAGAATCTCTCTAAGTTGTTAACCTCTTAGTTTGAGTATATCCTCAGTCAGTCTGACATTTGAGTTCTTTGGCTGCAAATCACTGTCTTATATATATCTTATTTGTGAGATTATGTGACATATTAAAATGGGGAGGCTGTTTAAGTGGAGTAGTGTTCTTTTCTCCCTGCAAGGTTAAGAGAAACATATAGACTAGTTCTGGGTATTAATGGACAAATATTAAAGTGAACAGCACAGAAAATATTTTTCTGGTCTTATTTTTGAGGCTTTTGGGTTGGGAGAGTCATGTACATTGCACTTAGCTAGCTATTAGAGTAGCACCAGAATTAGTGTAATCTGGGCAAAAAAGCTGGTTAAAAGGTTATGGTAAAGATTCACCAAAGGGCATATGCACGGCCCCACAGGTCATTGGTCTCTAGAGCGTTTGGAGACTTGTGATGCCAATATGCATTCTCTCAAGAGTGTGGATCTACAAAGGCAGTATGCATGAAGAACTCCAGTTTCAGGTGAGTAACTTTCCTTTAGATTTCCTCCTTCCCCTTGGCATTTTAATTGCTATGGTCTTTACAGCATGATATCCAAAGATTGACATTTAAAGATTTATACTAATAGTTTACGTGTTACTATTGAGCACATCTTATGAAGATTTATGGCAAGATGTCTTCACAGTAGGAGCACCATCTAGCATTGATGGGGTTTCAGCAAGGTCTGAAAACCCACTTTTAAACTTAAGGTTACATTGGAAAACAAGGCACTGTATTTCAAGTATGGTTGCATGTTTAGTACCCAACAAAAGTGCCATTTATACAGCAATTATTCTTGTTGAGGCATGAATTTCTTTGGTATGTATAGCTCATATAGGGGTTCATTTGATTGAATATAGTGCTCTATTTGTGGAACTAGGAGCTGATCAGAAAAACACTTCTAAGAATAATTTCATGTGGTTTGGAGCAGGGGCTATGTGAGGACTGTCCTAAATAGCACCTGTAGTCTATGAAATTGGGCTCTGGTGGAAGTTAGTGATCACTTGAAATAGCTGCTGTGCATCCCATGTTATTTCAAATGTACTTCTTGGTAGAAGATACATACTAAATTAAATCTCATCAGGCAACAATAGTTTTAGAGCCAAGCACTCATCTGTCTTAATATCCTTTAATCTGAATATAAAAGAAGCAAGAAATTCTTAAATATAAAGTTGAAAAATGTCTTTTGTCATCAAAATGGTTTTGAGTTTATTTTAAGGGATGCACAGAAAATGGAATCTTATCTGTTTGTGTCACATCTTCTGTGTCTTCTCTATTGTGTTTATACTTGCCTAAAGCAGAAATGGCTCTTTAGGCCAGTTGTAAGCTCTACTTGCTTTCTGATTACTGGAGGAGTTGATAGATGTGAAAATATGACATTGTTGCCAGAATTGTAATGGTTACTGAAATAAGTATGAGTTCTGAGTTCTTTCCCAGCCAAAGCGAAAGCCAGTGTGGTGTAGTGGTTAAGAGTGTGGGACTGGAACTCAGTCTGGGTTCTAGTCCCTGCTCAGCCATGGAGCCACCTGGGTGACTTAGGGCCAGTCACAGACTCTTAGCCCAACCCACCTCACAGGATTGTTACGGGGGTAAGATTGAAAGCAGCAGGAGGGAGAATGATGTAAGCTGCTTTGAGTTATAGGAAAAAGGATATAAATAGTGAAAAACTGGGAGAGAATGATTTAAATTAACAATGGGAGAAGAGATTATTTTGGAGAAGAGATTATTTTGGAAACAGATACTTCTGGCATAGAATAAAGAAGCTAGTAATACTTGGTATACTCCCAGTTTGGGGAACACAGCCAGATGTTAAGTGGGCAGCCGTAGGATAGTAAAATTGAATAGGTAATGGTGAAATGGTGGCTCTTCTTGTTTATCCATGCTCAGGTATAGTTAATACTTGTCCCATTACATTATAAGGCTATATAAAGATGCTGGTGTTAAGTAAAAACAGAATGGAGGAAGGAAAGTGAAATTGTTGTAATGGTGATGTATGTCATTCACTTGCTACTTGCCTTCTTTTCTGGGAGAGATGGAGAAAGAGGACAAGAACCCCAGATATTTTTTTTTTCCAAAGCAGCACGAGTTGCCTCAGTTTGGCAACAGCTGCTTTAAATCATGAGGTATCACAGTGGCCTGTTAGCACATGGATTCATTTCTCCAAAAACATGATAAATGGCCTGGAGTAAGCTATGGATCTGAAGTCTAGATTGTTTTCTTCTCTTTTGTTAGTGGAATAATTTTCCAGTCTGTTGGGTGCCTCAACAGAACTCAATTTCTGACTTGCAGTTGAAGTACTTAAGGCAAGATTTGATGAGTGGCACCCAGAATAGGGTTGATGGTGGTTCGTGTTGGCAAGTCTAGAAATGTCTCCAGAGAAATAAATTTAGGGAAGAGAATGAGTGATGTTTTTCTAACTTGAAGAGCATTTTAGAATGCAGTAAGGACACACATGAAGTTAGCTGCCTTTTCCATGGGTGAACCTTTCTATGTATAGGAGCTTTGCTAAGTGTTGCAACTTGGGACTATCTGGATTGAGCCACCCATCTGGAATTCATTGTAGCTTGCAACTGAAAGTACACGTTCTTGGATGTTCGGCATTTTGGTTTAAGTGTAGTCAGTCCTTCCATTCAAAACAAGACAATTTTTGAGCACTCCCTTTGCATTATTCAGTGCATCAGAGCAGTGCTTTTCAAATGTTGTGTCTTCAGAGAACCCTTTTCAGATTGTTGTGTCTGCTATGAACCCCTGTGTATGGCAAAGGATTTTAGAGCATCATCCAAAGCATGTGGTCAGGATCAGGCTTGATTGGCTGTGCATCAACTCTGGTTGCAAGGGAGTCTAAACACACAAGGGAATAAGCAACATTGCATTGTGACTCACCCTGGAGTAAAATGCTTAGTATTGTGTTGTGACTGCTCACCCAGTACTAGCCTGCAGCTATGCAGTGTAGAGGAAGATCAGAAGAGCTGTTGGAAAGTTTTCTCACCGTGCCTGGTCTTACTGAAAAACTCTTGAAAAGGTTCCCAGAAACCCCAGGATTCCCTAGAACATGGTTTGAAAACCACTGCTTTTCAAGTACCTAAATGTATAAGGAGTAAATTACATGGGAAAGTTTTTAACAGATGCCTTGAATTTCTCTAGATCTTATTTGCTTACTTCCATATTTTTTAATTCTCAAGTGTACTATTTTAGTTAATTTAGTTTTTTATAGGAGGAATAAACATTCACTCCTGAAGTACCAGTCAAATAAGCACAATCTGTCATCTGCCATATAGCAGGACCAGTGGGTTGATGGAAGCGTGGGCCTTAACCCTCAAAAGAACTGATCAGGTAGACACTTGTAGTAACATGGGTATTGCTTCTGAAGGGGAGGGGATAAGCAGGACAGTTAAAGCATTTCTGAGTGTCATTGCATTATCGGCAGTCAATGATACTTGGAAATGTGTTACCAATTTCAGATAACCTTTTCCTTGATCCCTGCGAGCTTACCCAGTGAAAATTCTTGTGGTTGAGTCAATGGCTTAAAATCTTCACACTGATGCTTTGTTACATTAGATACTCTTCTCTGGTATTTGGTATTACTCTATTAATTCTTATAGGCAATGTCAGCATTATACCCTTTTTAAAAATACTTAACTAGGAAAATCAGGCTGTTTTAGGCTGGAATAACTGATACATTTGTATCTGTCTCTAGGAAACATCTTCTAAGGAGCTCACTAATGCACTTGCAACTTTAGGATAATAGAAATTGTATGGGATATAAAGGCATGTAGGATGTTGAATTAACTCTCCCCCCTCCACTCACTCACACACTTTTACTTTCATTGGAGAAGCTCACAGGGAAAGCTTTCAGCTCTATCTTAGTATGATCAACAGTTTCATTCAAGTTGCTTGCATCATGGGTTTTTCTGTACTGGGAGACAAAAATCTTTGTGCCAGGTGTGAGATCTTAGCAAAATAAAGCTCTGATGTGCCATGGTAGTTGAAATACTACACCTCATACTATTGTGAATGAATCTTTTCGTCTTTGTGAGAAATTCTTGTTTTAAAAAAGTTACCTGTTCGGGTATTAAGAGTCAGGACTGCTTGAAGAGCCAGTTTTACAATCTTTCATTCTCTGATTTTTATTGCAGGGAGTATTACATATACATGTACCATGTATCCATGAATATAATATCTTCTGATTACTTCTTAGCCTCTGGTCAGTTTTTGTCTGCAACTGGATTTGAACTAATTTAAGAAATTACAATGGATGTATAGGGTGTGCCTGGATCAGAAAAGAGAAAGCAGAACCTTTTGTCTTGGTTTTAAAATCTGTCTCATAGTTTTGCAGGCTGCATATGAATTGCTTAATAAAAGACTTCAAGCAACTTGGTATGGAAAAACCTGTGCTGTTCCAGAGTCTCACTGTAGGCTTATAAATGAGAAAGTTGTGCTTCATTTCTTAATTTTAAAGAAAGCTTTTATGGTTGACTTGCATCATGGAAATTGATTCATGTAGCAAATTACTAGGCAAAGTATTCTTATGAAGTACTTTAATTCTCTAGATTCAGGTAGAACAGTTGGCTAATTATACAAAATTCATGTGTACTTGAATTTGTATTAGAGTGGCCGGTGTTCTTGAACCACAAATGTATATGCATTCATTTTACAGGATGGTGAAGTGGATGCTGAGGAACTACAGAGGTGTCTAACACAGTCTGGAATCAATGGAACCTATTCTCGTAAGACTTCGTTGCTACAGAACATGTTTAATGTATATTTTGCATTTTAATGGTATAATATTTCTTAATACTCCAGTACAATTGTGTCTTTGATATGTAGCCTGATAATAGGATTCATTTATTACTTTTATCCTATTGTTAATTATGTTAAATCAGGTATATAAACAGTATTTGAGATTTCTCATCTGAAACAAAGCCAAAACCCCAATAATTTTGCTTGGGATTTTGGAGAGTTATGTGTCAAATAATGAAGCTTAGATATGCTGTTCCTGGCACATGTGCAGTACACAAAACCAAAGAGTGTAAAGAATGTTGTATTTCCATCCCAAATTTAGTGCATTGTCTACATTTCCATAGGATAGCGTGATAACTGAGCAAGCCAAATGTAACTCTTTTAGAGCAGTGGGAAAGAACTTGCAGCCCTCCAGGTGGTCAGTGATCAGAGGGGATAGGAAGTATCATCTGTTATCATTACTGTTCCCCACCCATGTTAAAAAGGCTCAGTGGGCAGATGTTCCTCTCAGTGTAGCCCACTCCCCCAGGCATTGTCAAATTTTGGCAGAGCTTATTTCATATTTGAGATACCTTGGAGTAGTAAAAATAGTGCATATGCCAGCTTGTATGAACTTGCAAAACCAAACTTTTTTTTTTTTTTTTTAAGAATGCTCACTGACCTTCAGTCCTGTTAAGGATCATTCTCATTATTAAACCAATTCAGCTGGCCGTTTGATCTCAATTTATATTTAATCTCTTAAGTGTACTTTATGTGCTACTTAAAGATTTTGAACAATTACATTTTTCTGATGTAAATTTTATGATGGCTTCCACTTTCATGCTGATACATATATATAGTTCATATAGTTGTGTAAAACAAGGAAATTTTCCATGAAGTCCAGTGTGCATTTATTGTGCTGCTCCATTCTCAATAAGCAAACACTGTTTTGCTAGTTGTATATTCCTGAATTGTTCTTTATAAACTTCATTATGCTGCTAATCATAGAAGTTTGAACAATAGCATTAATAACTGTAATTCTGACTTCCATGAATAGAAGCATAATGAAGTTTGTCGATAAATACAGCTGATTGAGAATTAATGCATCATTTGCTTGTAATTTCAGCATTCAGCTTGGAAACCTGCAGAATTATGATATCGATGTTGGATGTATCCTTGAGAAAGGTTTAAATGAAAGTATAAATTTAAATTTCATATGAAACTAGCGAGCCTGTATTTTTATACAACCAAGGCAGTTTAACATCTGGGAGCTTTGGCATTTACCAAATTCTATTTTATACAGTGGTAAGACTGTGAATTGGTAGTGCTTCAGTAAACCTATAGTATCATCCTGTGAGACAGTTAACTTTCAAAAGATACCTTTTCACTGACTTTGTACTAAGTAGATTGCCAGAAATTTTTATGGTTCTCCCACTACTAAATTGTATACTGTATATAATATAAAAAGAAATTATTTCTGTAAGTTTGCAAACAAAAAGGTTTAGTCTTGTATTAACATAAGAATAGTCAAGAAGTAATGAGAGATCTGATAGTTATTGCTACATTTAAAAAAATACAACTTATTTGGTAAATAACACTTTGGAGCCTCAAGTAAAATGATCAGGAGGGGCTCTGAATAATGAACTGGAAATTATAAGTGGTATATTAAAGTATGTTAATATTTCTCCAGCTGCTGATAGAAGCTACACTTCAAAAAGATGTGAGTAGTTTGCACTTCATAGCAGTTACAATAGCATCATCACAGGAACTCTTACATCTGCTTTCTAAAAGCTCAGGGAATAAGATGCTAAAATGTGCCAGAAAGAATCTCTTTCTGTATTGGGAAATGTGTCACAACCATAAAACATTGGTTTCTTAGAGTCTGAATATGGCAAATCCAAGGACTTGGGGGAACATGAGCTGCTCCATATACTTGCTTTAAATGAATATCCAATAGTAACTGCTCCTCTGAGTTTAACTTGTTCCTAGATTATGGATAATAAGTGGGTGTTATATCTAGTCACATTTTTCTTTGTAAAGCTCTTCCCTTCAAAGAAGTCCTATACGTGACTGCCATCACCTGCAGTGTGAAATTTTGGAGTATGCACAAGGAAAAACGGTACTTAGTTATCTGGAGTTTATAAAACAGAAATAGACTCATGCCTTGAATGCATTTTATGTCAAAGTCTTGAATATTGCCTACTTAGAGTATTGTCCACTGTGGGTTTCCTGGGTGTCTGGCAAAGGTGTTCCCCAAATCTCAAAAGACGGTTGGGCAAAAAACCTAGAAATCCTAAGTCAAGATAGCTAGCAACAAAACAGTAAATAGAGACTATGCATATGTAGCAAAATGTTTCCCCTTCAACAGTCAAAAACAAGCTAGTACTAGAACAGCAGCCATTTTTCCACCAATCAGCTGGACTATGAGGAAAAGTAGGTGTGGCTTCCTAGCTTAATAAAGTTACATGGAGAGTGGTAGAAGGGCCCATGTATGTTGTACCGAGTGACAAAGTAATATGGCGGGAGACTTTAATGCCAAAATAATCCTTTTGCAGTAGATTAGAATATTAATAGAACAAGAAATCCTTTTGTTTTACTACTGTTACTGTAGAACAGCTATTTAAAATATAAGCAAGCCATTAAATTAAAAGTTAGTGTTTTATGTTCAGAATGAAGACGAAATACCTGTGGATGCATATACAGTTTGGTGAACTTTTCACAACACTATGTTTCTTAACTGCATTACTTAAGAGAGATAATAATGGGAAAATGGGATACAGTGAATTTAAGGAACTCTGGGCAGCTGTCAGTGCTTGGAAACAAAATTTCATGATGATTGATCAAGACCGGAGTGGAACTGTGGAACTTCATGAATTGACTCAAGTCATTATAGCTATGGGTAAGATATACTAACTTTCAAGACTTTTGCTGAGATGGTAGGTTGCAAACTTGAATCTGGCAGTTGAATGGATCACATTCAGGATAAATTGCAGAATTAACTTGACATGGATAACTTTTAGAGTCTGGATAAGTCATGCAGTTCAGGCTGGAAGACCAATCCTATACAGCTAGTTCAGGGCTAAGTGGACTGCTATACATGTTGAGCAAATGACTTTCAAGGAATTGTTGAACATGTTCGTTCATGCAGAATAAAATACTTTCTGCACTCAAAATATCTTAACAGAAATAACTTGTTTTGAAAATCTTTATTGCACCTAAAAATGAAGGATTGCGTTGCTCATAGGTGCATGACAGAAGCAGATGTGGGAAGATCTAGAATGGTGCAAGAATGGACAGACCCTTAACACTATATACTTTGGCATTCTGTAATTGCCCAAAGCAACAACAATATGCCCAGGGAGCAAAATGCAGTGCTGAAATTTAATATGTGCTATATTCTGTTAAGAGTGTTGAGTTGTAGTTGTCTTTGGGTTGGAAATATTCAAAACTAAAAAATCCAAAAATTAATCTTAAACCTTCTGATGTGAAGTTAAGCTTTCATTCTGTTTTTTTTCTCCCCTATTATCTTGTCTAGGCTATAGGCTAAGCCCGCAGACATTAATTGCAATTGTAAAACGTTACAGCAAGAATGGCAGAATTTTTTTTGATGACTACATGGCTTGCTGTGTGAAACTTCGGGCTTTGACAGGTAAGATGTTTTGATAGTATTTTTTCTTAATTCTATAAACAACGGCAGCAAAACATTCTGAAAAATTTGAAATGAGACTAAATGTAATGGCATGGATATGGCAATGTGTTGAATGAGGATGTGGTTCCACTTGTGAAAATAAGCCCTGCCTAATTCTGTTTCCTGCATCCTGCTGTAACCCCTTGTTACATATTGTTCCAGAGAGTCTTTGCTCTCAGGAGTGGAGTTGGGGGTAGGAGAGGAGGATCCAGGAAATCTCCGTTGTATGTGGGGTATTCCACTTGATCTTTCTCTAGATCCATTCCGGAAATGCATGCAAGTTGCTCAAACTTTTCTCAGCTCGAAGTTCAGGTTATTTTGTAATAGAGTCTGAAGTATAACGTGCATGTGGCAGTTAAAATGACTTTAAACATACTTTCAATATAGTTATCGGCATTGTGACGTGAAATCTGGAGCTCAACTTTTGGCTAATCAATTCCTGAGTTAGGATTGTTTATAAAGTGAATGGTCCCATTTCTGCGACAAGTTGAGGAATATATTTACATAGGAATATTGATAATTCAAAGGACAAATATATTAGGATATATATTTTGTAGATTTCTATCCTGCCTGTGCTTAGTTGAGCATTAGGTCCAGTTGCAAACTATTTAAGCATGTCTAAACAACTTCAGGATTGTATATTAGGATGTTGCCAATTTACCAACATTTTCTTTTTGAAGACTTCTTCAGGAGAAGAGACAGCATGCAACAGGGTATTGTGAATCTTGTATATGATGATGTAAGTAATAACTGCTAACTAGTTATTCAGTAGAGACTATTGTAATAAGAGGTGTATGTGTCAGATTCTCTCTGGTCATCTCTGTCTTCCATCATTTGTCCACATTATTTTCAAGAATATTTCTTGAAGTGACATGTCCCAAGAAGCGTTGCAGCTTCTTTCAAAGGCAGTGCCCAGTTCTCCCTGTGTTCCAGTTGGCTAACATGAGAGGAAGCTGGTGCTTCTAAAGCAAGCCAAAATGAGCCAATCTGTAAGACTCTAGAATGGTGAGCAGAGCTAGCCGAAGGAGTTTGCACAGACCCATCCCATTCTGGAGGAGATCATTTTGGCTCCTTTCCAGGATTGCCAGGCTTCTGTTTTGCCAGCAGGATCTAATGCTAGTGATGCATTGGACAGCCATCTGAGTGGGATGGTGTCCTGCAACAGCAGGGCATTGGTCTCGATGGCCTTCATGGTCCCTTCCAACTATTCTATTCTATGGTTCTGTGACAAATTATGAAGATGCAGCAATAGCAGTATTAGACATAGCCCATAATCTCCAGCATAAGAACCTGTGCACTAAGCAGATTGCCCTGATTTTCAAATTTCAGTTTTCTTCCAGTCTCCTTAGATCTCTTGAACTGTGAGGTTTCAAATTTTGATTAGCAAGTTTGTGTATATTGTATCCTAGGATATTCAGCTATGGAAGTTAATGGTAGAATTGCCAATAGTAGTTGATTTTATGTTAAAGATTTTTCTATGAGGATAACATTAGAAAACAACTCGCAAAAATAGTGTGTTGCTAATTAATTTTAAACAGTAATTATGTGTATGGCACATCCCATGGTTTCTTAATTTTACATTGAGGCAATGTGTTTTTATTTTAGTGTAATCATGTTGTAGACAGGCAAATGCTGGTCTTGGAAGCATTATGTACTGTTCCTCAAATTTGGAATATGCACAACTTGACTCTAAATTAGGAAAACATAAATGTTTGAGGCTGTTAATTCATACAAAGTTATTCAAGTAGTTTACTGGATTATTGCTTCTTCCATGAAAGACAGTCAAGGGATAATTTAAATCTGTTGGAGTATTACAGATTTCTTTTAACAGCATTATGAATTTCTCCATTTCGACCTTCTGTCTAACAATAGTAAGGCAGGCTGTAGTGGCCATATTCTACCACTGTGTGTAGCTTTCATCCTGCGGAAGTGCCTGTATCCAAGGAACGCACTGCTTATGTGTCTGAGCAAATGTGGAAGTCTTTGCTTTTACAGAGGTTTAGGGCCAGATTAATTTCCTTATCAAGTTTTGATGGCCTTGTTGCACAATTACTGTTTGTCAAATAACAAGGAGTTCAATGTGTTATATTGACAGGACTATGTTGAATTATAAAATACCTGTATTTTGTCCTGATGTATCTTGTCTACACATCATGGCTGGTATATTTGCTTTATTTATAATATGAAAAATGTAGAAGAATGTGTGCTTTTTGAGCCTTTCTTTTGCCATAGTTTCCCCTTTCCGGGTGGGCTTGGGGGTCACAGTTGCAGTTCCATGAATGAGAGAACGCCTTTCATTTGCAGAAGGACTTTTTATCCAGTAGATACTGCTTAGAAAAGTGGCAGTATGTTTCACTAATTTCCCCCTAAAACCTCTGGTATCGCCTTCCACACTGTTTCAAAAGGTTCCCCTAACCTCCAAGGCAAATTTTAGGTGGAACGCCACTGGATAGCTCAATCTGAGCTATCTTAAGTCTTTCAGTGATAAGATGCATGCTAAAGAACATATACCAAACTGCACTGTGCCCATACTGTTGCCCATTGAACAATTATTTCCAGATAATGACAGTTTATATTAATCCAGCTTTTGTTTTTCAGTTTTTGCAGTGCACCATGGCTATCTGAGTGCCAGTTGTGGAAGAAAACTCACGTGTATAATTTCAACTTTGAGAAAATTAACTGAAAATGCTGTGAAAGCAAGGCTGCCATTGATATTTCCACTTTTCTGCCTGCTAATGCATCATTTCTGTATAAATATCTTTAGTGTGTAGTTTTACAATAAACAAGTGTTCACATTTTACTATAAATCTTAGAAGTGTTCCATTCTTTATGCTTATGGGTAGTAGACTTTTCTATTTTTGGGTTATACTGTCGGGATTGATCAAAGGAAACAATCAGATTTCATGTAATGGTTATAAACAGGGTTTAGTTTATCTTTAAAGTGTCCTGGCTTAGTACCTATTGCTTTAAATTACAATAAAAGTTGTCCACATGTGTTGCATGCCTGTGAAATACTAAATGCTGGGCAGTGGGGGCCATCCAGTAAATACTACCAAGTGCAAATTAAAACAAGTATTTGCATATTATTCTTCTGGGTGTTGAGTGGGTTTATTTGAATGTAGAATAATAGAACACAGTCATAATGAAGAGTATATTTAATGGTAGTTGAATACATTCTGCTAAATATTTTTTCTTCTTGAAAATATAATCTTTGGAGGTGTTCATGTGCCTCTGTGAAGCACTCATTTATTTTAAATCTTAAGCATTTACATTCTTTGCTGAATGTGTAAAAGACTCCTAACTGGCCTTTTACTTGCTCACCTAAAATCCAGCAGTAGTTGAACAAATCACTTAACGATTGCTTGACTTCACTGATTTAGCAACTTTATTCTTGTGCTGTTGCTGCCACAGCCCGAAAATAGAATCATGGGCTATGCAGGAAGCTGTTGGTTTGTAGCAGCTCCACACATGGCCATAATAATTCCAACCATGCCAGCTTAACAGCACACATTCGGGTCTTTTTCTGGTGGGTATCGCTCTTCAAATGATCCTCCTTTACTCTTCTTTCCTAAACTTCAGGATTTGTGGATTCCAGTGAAACTTTGTGTAATGAATCAACCCAATACAGACCTGTAGTTGGTTGGTTTTCTAGTCTGATTACTTCTGTGCTTTGCAGACCTTTTAACCAATGAGCTTGTTAATGTATTTGTTTTCCTGTGCAGTATACCTTGTGGATAAAACTAACAGCCCAGCCTTAATGAGCTCTGTGGTTATGGTTGCCTGTGGGGTGGATGCATATAATAAGTGCAAAACTTGGCTCTCTATACCAGGTGCACTGTGTTATGCAGGGTATTCAGCATTCTCTGTTAACAGCACAACTTGATGACCCAAACACCATTAAAAGCCAGTGGGTCCATCTGTTGTGTAGCACCATACTTGTGTTCATTTCATGACACATTTAATGGCAGGATTCAGAGCTGCGTGTTCTGATTCACTTCACGAGGAAAGAATCCATTTCTGCCAAGGTCACCAACTGCTCACAACAGAAACTTTGAAAAGGTTGAACATGCTCTGATTATTGTGGTAAAGATTTTTTTTTTTTTACTAATGATGGTTTTTAGTCTGGCATTCGTAATGCATGCATATTACATTACAGTTATTTATGTCCTGCTACGTCTACCCACATAATTATGCTAGTATATTGGATTATTTTATTAAAATTGTCTTGCATTATCTTTCAGTACTTTTAGAAACTTTCAAAATGAAGTTCTGAAATTACTAACAATGTTCATATGCATATTTTGTGTGCACAACTGTCAAATAAGTTATAGGCTACTTGTAATCTATGTAGAGATTTTTGTACCTTATGAAATAACTGAATACTGTTCTAACTGTACAAATGCTCCTGTGGTAACTATTTTTAGTGCCATCCCAGGCAATTGTTTTGAAATAAACTTGGAGTTGACTTCATATTCTTTCATAATAAGGTTGTATAAATCTTAGCTAGCTGTCCAGCACTGTAGCAACTGTGTAGGTTTTCCAGTTCGGTTTAAAAATCTTGGCTTCACAATGGTACCATGGATTGGTACTGCGGATTTTTAATTATGTGTTTTAGAGCCAACTTAGGAGAGAAAAAGTGTATTTCAGCCCTCCTTTCCTCTGCCAGTTCATACTGCAAGTATGGAATTGTCCTTAAATTGTGAAAAATGAACATATCTCACATGCTGCATTCCTTCCATAAACTTAGTTTTCTCCCATGTGATGTTGCCTTGATGATTAAGAGACAAACTCTCAGGGCTATGCAATTCCCTGTGCAATTTGAGGTGGCTTGTGGGGAGAAGATCTCCTTACATTCCTTGTGCACGACTTGTGAACTTAACCTAAAGGAATACAGCAGTAAATACAACAAATGGTAAGTGTCCTGTGTAATAGAAGATCACAAATGCTAAGTTAGCCATGGTGCCTACACTGGAAATATTAGAAGCTCTAAAAGAATTACTAGGTCAATGGACTATATACAGAAAAGTCAATCTCAGCTACTTTTACCACACTGCGTGTCTCATGTTTGCTCTTGGGAATTATGCTATGGTCTTCACTTATAGAAGAAGACAGTTTGAATGCAGAACATATAACTGAAATGGAAAGAGATTGAAAGGCAAGCTTTCAGGTTAACCTAGAAGAGGGACGTGCTATAAGAAAGTGCTTACATTGCAAAATATCAGAATCAGTGAGCCAGACTATGTTGAAAAGGAAAAAATTGCACTCCTTCGAAGTTCTCTGCTTGTCTGACTTGCAGGATATTTTTTAATTAAAACGGAATGACTTGCAGCATTCTTCCTGGAAAAGCAGCCTAGAGATTCTGAAAATCCCAAATAAGGACAATAATCAAACAAAAATTTTCAAAGGTTATTAAAGGTGAGCATATTGCCGTTTTGTATGAATAGGTAGCTCCTGATACTTGCAGAGGAGAAATGCGATGGAGGGATGGATGGACAAAGCCCTTTCCTAGTATGAGCCCTTGCAGAGAAAAACCCCTTGCCCTTCAGTTACACAGCTATGGGAATGCCTAAGTAGAGGGGCCCGAACAACATTTTATTAGTGATTGAAAGTCCTATTATAAAAGCAGGAAGATTTCCCTGATGCTTGTCATGGAGAATTTATGTAGTAATATAAACCGGTAGTTTTATAGAAGGGGAAGTATATGTTCAATATACAGCAGTTCAGAATACTGCTTTGAGGTAGTTTTCATCTATTGACAAATGGGTTTTGTGTGCTCAGTGCATAATTTTCCCAATTCTGATTCTCCAAAAATGCAGTGGTCGTCTGGGGTCCTGCCCTTTATGGGTGGGGAGGGAACATGTGGCCATCCAGATGTAGGCCTTCAAATCCAGTCATCCCCAGCCATGGTCTGCACAGAGCCCAAGGACAGTAGAAACTAATCCAACATCCAGAGGGCTTTAGAATTAGGTGAAAATCTGTTCTGACATTTTAAAGTTCAGTGTTCGAGTTCATCAACTGCTGTGTGAATCTAATGCTCACATACTGTGTTTCTGGGGGATAAAGTTTTCGTGGCGGTGTGCTGGCCCCTCTTATGTGGGACATGTGCACAGTGTGGAAACCTTTTCAGAGAACAGGAAGATCCCACATATTTATGTCTTTAAATCATGTGCTTTATGTTTCATCTGTGAAATACTATAACAGTATCAATATCTACATCAGAAATGTATTTTTGTGGAATCATTTTGGTGTATTGGCCGACCTGAAAAATAATAGGGTTGGGTCTGAAAGACCAAGGGACGTCATGGGTAATGGAGGCATAGCTGTAAGTCAGTGAGAAGATGGCATCATGCAAAGTAATCTTGTCTCACTAACATCTAAACTTTTCAGTGTCAACAAATATGTGGCCAAGGGTGATCAGAAGATACTGTTTATTTGGACTTTCAAAGGACTTTTTATGAAATCCCTCACAAAAGTTTCCTGAGCAAACTTAGCAGTCAGAATAAGCAGTTCTCTTATGGATCTACAACTGATTAGAATAAAAAAGTAAAATCAGTCAGTTCTCACAGAGGAAGAACATAAATAGAGAGTCCCCAAAGGATCTCTGTTGGGGTTGGTTCACATGAACACACATGACCTGGCATATGGGTGGGTAGTGAGGTGGCTAAGTTTACTCACTTGCCACATAGAGTGGTTACAACAACAATAACAAATAACTCCAAAGGGATCTCCAAGCTGCAAGAATGGGCATGAAAATGGCAAATATCAAATGTAAGTTTACAGCGATGCACGTTAGGGCAACAAAAGCTAACGTCACATAAACACTGATGGGTTCTGAGCTGATGATCACTAACCAGGAAAGGGCTTCTCAGCTTGTGATGGACAGCTCAGTAAAAATTTGGATCCAGTCTGCATCTGCTGCGAAGAAGTAAAATCTAAGTTAGAGACCTCTTGCAAAGCATCTGAGAATAAAGCTTCATAAACGACGGGAGTTTTTGTAACAAGAGGCAGTGCTCTAAGTCAGCTTGGATGGCTTGCAAAGCAGATGAGAGAGATTACTGGAGGGTAAGACCTTGAATGGCTACCAGCCACAATGGCAATCCATTAGCTCCCGTAATCAGAAGCGGGCTGCCTGTGGGCACCTGCTAGCAGAGGAACATGAGCAGGGGCTTTCCATAGTAACAGACTTCATTGGATCCCAAGCAGATGCATTTAAATCTAGGATTGAAAGACCTTCAGTTTGTAAGAATTAAATTGCACATAGATTTACGAATAATCCCTCCTCCACAGTATGAAAAACGTAATTTAATATGCCTACCCTGATGTGCATCATGGAAAAATGATGCTGGGTGCTCATGATGCTCGACCTGTGCTGGATGAGTCCATTTGTGTCCAATAAATGAGAGTTGTCATGATCTAGCAAGGGTGATGAAAATAAGCTGCTAGAAATGATTAATTTGTTATGATATCATCCAAATGTATGAAAAATCTGATGCATGGGGAAGGAACCCTATTAACGTATTGTTGCTGCAGTGGCGTATGGTACTGTTTGTCATACCAGCTATGTGGCAATTGGTCTAGGCAACTCTGATAGTGTTGTTGCTGGGCACTGCACAGCCAGCCCTTGATGTGGTGTGTCTGTTAGGTTAATCAGATGTAAAGCCCCTCCTGCATCTTCAGTGTGGAAGAAGGAATTTTATCTTGCATAGCTTTTCATGTTTCAAGTATTCTATGCCAAGGAACATTCGTCAGAATCTTTTCTTTCACAGAACTGTTAAAGGTACAAGAACCCTGTCTTCTACATGTGATA